GCAGAAAATGGCTTGCTGGTGTGATAACTTGATCTTGTTACTATTTTGTTTTTAGTTCTAGTCGGAAACAAAACGGAGAGAAAAAAAGCTATTATATACACAGTTATTTTCAAATATTTTGAAACAAGTTTGTATGTGTGGCCGCGCATTAATTTTGAACAGTTGTGTGGTCTACATAGTACATTCGGTGATTGTGACGAATTCAATTTTTCTCCTAATACAATTGACATCGCCAGCTTGAGCTTTTGCATTTTTAGCTTTCCGTACCTGATAATGATTCAAGTCTTCACTTTACGCGAAAGATATGGACCCTTGACTAGCATCCTATTATAATGGAATTTGATTCTGGTAAAGAGCGGCTCTTTGTCGCTCCGTAAAAACAGTGAAATATCAGGTGTTTCTATATTTTTCTTTAATTGCAATTTCATAACAGAGGCACCAAAAGGTTCTTGGGAAAAAAATGTTTTTTGACCCAACAGAAAATTTCCTGATGCATTGTAAATGAGTAAGTCTTTATGCGATTGTTACTTAGGAAGTTAGGCTTCAGTAATCCTTGCTGCCATTTTCGTTTCAAGAACAGAAACCTAAAAGAAAAGGGAAACACCGAAGACAGAATTATGTCGACAACGAATTTCAGTAGCAGTAGAAGTCGCACGAAATCATTTGAAGAACTGCTATGTCCTCCCTCTTTAGTGGGTGGGTTTCAACAACAACCATCAATTTGTTTCTTAGCGGTTAACATTCTCCTCTCCATTACAGCATTTGCTGGAAATTCTCTTATACTTGTTGCCCTTCACAAGAAATCTTCCCTACACCCGCCGTCCAAACTCCTGTATCGTTGTCTGGCAACCACTGATCTGTTGGTTGGTCTTATTGTTCAGCCTCTCAATGCTACATATTAGATGTCCGTGGTTCAAGAACAGTGGAGTCTTTGTCGATACGCAAGGGTGCAGGCTACATCACAAACTATGTATTGATTTTAGTGTCTTTGATGACGATAACGGCCATAAGCGTGGACAGACTTCTCGCCCTGTTGTTGGAACTGAGATACAAACAAATTGTAACTTTGAAGCGCACGTATACCATTGTAGCTAACTTTTGTGTTTCCACCCTTTTGCCTTTTTTTAAGTGTAATTTTTATCTCCTTATAATCTTTTTTGTACAGCTGCCTCATTATATCAGTTTGCCTGTTAATATCATTTGCATCGTACACAAAGATTTTTGCACTCTCAGATATCATCAAGCACAAGTACGAGATACTCTTAGTCGTCATATGTAAAGTAGCAGTTATTTTGCTCTACTTTAACTCCAGGTTAAACCCGTTCCTGTACTGCTGGAAGATGAGTGAAGTGAGACAAGCAATGAAGCAGACAATTAAAGAAACACTTTGCTGAGTCAGGTCTTCCTCGAGTTCTTCAGACTTTTCAAACAGACTTATTAAGTCACGAATATATTTGAAGAGCAGCCGTTAGATAAGTTATTGGATAAAAACAAATAAGTGGCTCAATAGAATAGTTGCACAGGCTATTGTCGATTGTCTTTAAATCTCTGAGAACAAATTAGGTGACCCTAGCTACCCTGTCTAAAAGCCGATGCTGGGTGTTACGAGAAAACTATTTCAACTAGTCTTCCTATGATTAAAACAAAGCGCCCGACGTTGATGTTGACGCCATATTGCCAAAAGAGACGGTCCGGTTTTAGTCTTGAATTTGTTTTGTCTTCAGAAAAATATCCGTAAAGCTTATGTCAAGAAGTTTTCGCTACTTGTATATTTAACTGAAGGTTACGAAAGTACCGGGGTATATGAAATAAAATTGACGATCTCTTTTTGTTACAGAATTTTTTTTACAGATCGATCGATGTTCTGAAATTATATTGGCAACCGCGAAAAACAAGTTTCGCATCATTTGTATAGAGGTCAACATATGTTCAGTTTGTCCCTGGTGTATCTTTAGGTTGTCTCTGAGTTTTACGGATTTTATATCCTCCATTTCCGAGCGATTAACTGCTGCCCCTAAGTTCCACAATTTTTTTTTTTACTAAGTCGTTTTCAAAGCTTTTGTATAAGCTCAGAATTTGTTTCAATATCATACCATCTAATTATCGCCCTAAAAAAGACATGGTTATTTCACCCATAAAAGAAGTGATAAATTAGATCTTTTAAGACCTAGGAGTCCCATATCGTATTGTAAAACAAAAAATATAGCCCATGTCTTTGTGTTTGCCGAGGGAATTCATTTTCAGTGCTGATTTGAAATTAAACTGAAACTTTATTAACTGAAATCAACAGCTGGTTGCGACAAACATGTTCTTGTATAATTATCAAGGTACTGAATTACCATAGAGGATCAGAGAGTAATTATGTTGCAAAAACGAAATTTTTTCTAACTTTAAACGAGGCGGCGCGTCTATGATGGCTAACTAATTTTTCCTAATCTTTGACCGGGTAGTTTTAACAATTGCTTCGCGCGTCAGTGAGCGGTCATTAATATGCGATACACACAGGAAGTTTGGAGAGCTTGAAAGATACGTGGGAGTTACTTAACAGGCAACTAAGAGTGACCATAGGTTCATAAATAATAAATGCTGTTTATGTAAGTTTAACAAGGAGTAGTTTTCAACTAGACTTCGTCTCGGGAATTATTCAACAATAATATTATTCACTTCATCTTCGCCAAATAATCGTTAAATATTTTTATCGAGTTTTGATAGTTTTTAAGTATCCATTCCTTCATTTTCCTTCTCGATCGATAGATTATCATGTTCACTTTAGCACAGTCATATAACTCTGGTTATCGGAGGAGAACTGCTAATCGCTCTGGGGAATTCCGACATGAAGAATTCAGTCACTGCTGTATACATGAAAGCGTTGGCAGAGAAACATTTAGGCGAACTTTATCATATAATTTTCCGGGAAAATCACTTTGAAATTTTTGGCGAAAGGAGGAGAACAAATAGAGAATGTAAAAAGAAACAGCAAAAATTGTTCAAAAATGTAATTTCTTGCTTTTCTTCTGTTTTATTTCTCGTTTTGTCCGAGACGAAACGGAGGTAAAAGGCCACAAAATTTGACTAATTAAGTTTGCATCTGTGGCCATGGCTTAACCTTATTTTCGCAAATGATATGGACATTTGATTGACACCCAACATCGATGAAACTAGCCTTCAAATTCAGAATTTACTACGGTACAGAGATAATGTTCGCACTTAATTACCGGCCCAAAATAATGACAGTATATTTAGATATACCGCTTAAACCGCTTATGCTGTCATTCAAATTAAAACTGACAAAAGAGAGTTTCCCTATCATGTCGTCAATCGAAAATTTTACCGATGTCTGTGCGCTTGCCAAAGGAATTAACTTTTAATGCTAATTTGAAGTTAAATTAAACTTAAACTACTGGAATAAACAGCTGCTTGCGAAAAATATACGCTTGTTTAGTTTTTAAGCTGTCGTCGCCACAGTGAATTATCAAAGAGGATTAGAAGGAAGCTTCCTGAGAAACAATTACTCCTCTTAAAGAAACTGATGTAATGATGGCATTTTTCAGTGATTAAATCACGTTTTAAGAATGTTTAGTAACTATATCTGCACTTGTAAGAAAAATTGTAAATCGAAAATGAAAATATAAAGTTTGAACATGAAAATTGGCATCAAACGAAAAATAAATGAATACTTTGGTACCCGATGGAACTCTGGGATTAAAATGATACCGAGCGCGTAGGGCCATCATGGCTGATGGAAAACAATAGTTTCTCCGCCTCCTCTATTTTCAGTTAGCGCCCATTTTTCTTATCTTGTTGACCAAAGCGATGAAGAAAGGAAATTACATCATGGGACGAAATAGGCAAAATAAGCAAAACAGTTTTTGTTAAAAAAAATCATCATAACTTTCCTGACGAAAGTGAAAAAGCTGGTAGAGAGCGAGTTTGAAAAAATCGTTGGAGCGCGGCACAACATCTTGTCACGGTTTTGTTTTTAATATCAGTCCGGTGACGAAAAATGGAAAGAAAAAGCCAGTCATTATAATTGATTCAAACATTTAAAAATACTTTTGCATCTGTGACCAAAATTTTAATTTGTATTGTTTGATGTATTCGCAAATTGTCTCAAATCCAACTCTTCTAAGACGAGTTAAAATCGCCAGCTTGAAATTTTCATTTCTAATTTTTCATGGCTACTAATGATACAAGTCTGAAATTCACACGAATGATATGAACACCAGGTTAACACCCCTATCATTGAAAGTTGATCCAGGTAAAAGAAGATCGTTCGTCATTCTTTTAAAAGAATGATACACAGACGTCTCTCCATTTTCTACTTGTTGCCATTTCATACCTGAGGCACTTCAAAGGTTTAATTATTGGACGCAACTGTCAATTTCCTGAAGTATGAGGTACGTGTATAAATATCATTAACTGAAGTATGAGGTGTCATTGATCGTGGCTGGATGTGGGCTGTTTAGACGATATATTACTCCTTGCAATCTTAGAAAACCTACAAAAATTTCAGAGAACACAGACGGAAACAATTGAAGAACTGCTATGCTCTCCCTCTTTAGTGGGCGGGCATCAAGCAGCATCAGTTTCATACATGGGGCATGCCACAGCTGCAAATTTCTGACGCATTTTAAATGATTAAACGCGAGGGAGGTAGTCTTTATGTGTTATTAAAGGAAGGTTTCAGTTGGACGAAATATTTCTCGTCGAAACAGATGCAGAATTATGTCGACAACAAAGTTCATTAGAGGTGGAACACTGACAAAAACAATTGAAGAACTGGTATGCTCCCCCTCTTTGGTGGGTGGGCTTCAACCAGCATCTTTCGCAACAGTCAACATTCTCCTCTCCATCACAACATTTCTTGGCAATTCTCTTATAATTGTTGCCCTTAACAAGGAATCTGCCCTCCATGCGCCGTCAAACTTTTGTATCGCTGTCTGGCAACAACTGATCTGTTGGTTGGTCTTGCTGCTCAGCCTCTCTACGTTACCTACTGGATGTCCGTGGTTCACGAACACTGGACTCTTTGTCATTACGCAGTGAGAGTAACCTACATCATAGGCTCAGCATTATGTGGAGTTTCTCTGTTGACGATGGCGGCAATAAGCGTGGACAGACTTCTCGCCCTGTTGTCGGGGCTGAGATACAAAGAGATTGTAACTTTGAAGAGTGTTTATATTATTATAGCTAGCTTTTGGGTTTTATGTCTGGTCGCCTCTTTATGCACCATTTTCGATCAGCGTATAACCGCTTTGTATACTCGCATATTGATACCACTTTCGCTGCTTATTTCACTCGTCTCGTACACAAAGATTTTTCGCACTCTTAGAAATCGTCAGGGAGAAGAACATGATCAACTACAACCGAGCCAACCAAGTGTACTCAACATGGCGCGATACAGAAAAGCAGTGCACAGTGCACTGTGGATACAGTCAGTATTAGTTGTCTGTTATACACCATACCTTGTTGTGGGAATTGTAGTCACTTATACTACAACATATTCATCACACTTCGGCGTCGTATTGGCAATGGCAACTATCTTAGTTCACTTTAACTCGACGTTAAACCCGTTCCTATACTGCTGGAAGATTAGTGAAGTGAGACGAGCAATGAAGCAGACAATCCGACAAGCACTTTGCTGTCCATGGAGTTAGACCATCCTCCAGTTATACATAATAATATAAGTACTTTTAGTGCAAAGCTGACCGATAGAGAACGCTTGCCACTTAAATTTTTCGAAGATTAAACGTAAGACTCCGTCTTCTCTGCTCAGCCAAAGGCGAATTTTTACCTGAGAAGACGGAGTTTAAAATAATTGTGAAATACTAATAGTATCAAAGATGTCTGTCTGTACGTTTGACTCTTAAAGCTCATTTGTTCCTATTTTGGTCACTTTTCCTTATGAACTTTCATCGATAGGGAGCTAATCAAGTGTCCATATCAGCTGTGTGAAATTAGGACTTCAATCATTATCAGCCTCGACAAACTGAAATTACGAAGATCAAGCTGGAAACTTTAAATGATGTAAGAAAAAATTGGATTCGTGACATCTTCTTATGCAACAAACTATTAAAATGTAAATTAATTCAAATATTAAAGAGAAACTTGAATCTGAGGGATTGTTTATCGTATTTTAGTTAAAAAACTGAAATTACAGATGTCTCTATTTTTTCCTTTTATTGCTATTTCATCCGTGAGGCACCCTACGGGTTCCAACGGTCGATCAGCTAAAAAAAAAAGGATTATTTTTCGCCTTGTGGAAAAACGATATCACAGATGTCACTCTGTTTGCCTCTTGCAGCTATTTCATACAAGAGGCTCGTCAGAGGCGCAGGAAAAAAGAAATCAACTTTTTGGCACAGCACACAATTTGCTTACGCACTTTGAATGAGCAAACGCTGATGAGGAAGTCTTTATGTGTTTATTGAAGGAAGTTTCAGTCATCGTCGCTCGGCGTGTTCTGTTTAAACGAATTATTTTTCGTTGCCAGTTGCCTCAGAACAAGAAAAAGGAAACGAATACAGAACAATGTCGACTACAAAGTTCACTGGCGGTAGAACACAGACGAAAACATTTGAAGAACTGTTATGCACCCCATCTTTTGGAGGTGGATTACATGAGATATTTACTTTTTTTCTCAGCAGTGCACATTCTCCTCTCCATCACAGCATTCCTTACGAATTCTCTCATCCTTGTTGCCCTTCAAAAAGAATCTTCCTTGCATCCGCCGTCCAAACTCTTGTACCGTTCTCTGGCAACAACTGATTTGTTGGTTGGTCTTGTTGCCCAGCCTCTCTATGCTACTTATTGGATGTCCTTGGTTCAGGAACACTGGAGCCATTGTCGATATGCATTTGACGCAGCCTACATCACGGGCTCTGCATCGTTTTTAGCGTCTTTGATGACGATGGCGGCCATAGGCATGGACAGACTTCTCGCCCTGTTGTCGGGACGGAGGTACAAACAAATTGTAACTTTGAGGCGCACATATATCATTGTAGCTACCATCTGGATTCGATCTCTTGTCTCTTCTTTTTGCGCTTTTCTTGATATATATATATATATATATATATATATATATATATAATATATATATATATAGTAACTGAATTAAAGGGCTATGAATTAACAATCAGCAAATAATTAACACTACTATTACTATAAAGAAAATAAAAATATAATAAATAATTATTTACATATTCACATATTTACTGGCAAATGAAATAAAGGGACCTGAACGCTGGGTCCGACAACAACTCCTATCGGCGTAAACAATATTTCTATTGTTGTCGCTGGCCCGCAAGTTGTAACTATGACCACTAGATGCTGTTCTCGGCTTGAGGAAGTTAATGGGGTGGTCTTTTTGAGTCGTCTTCTGAATATATTAACAGCAGAGCTGAGTTCGTCTATCTTTCAAGCTGCCAAGGCTGGTAGTATTAAGGGCATCTAAGTTACTATGGCATGTATAGATGATATGTAGTGCCCTTTTTTGAATTGACTTCAGCTTATTTGAAAGAAATTCAGGAATATCTTGCCAGAATTGTACGCCATATTCTAGTTTAGGTTTTATTGTTGTCAAATACTCTGTATTAACACCCGGTTTTTTAAGAATCCTCAGGGAATACAGGCGTTTCGAAGCTTTTTTCGATATGTAATAAATATGCTCGTTCCACTTTAAATCATTACTGATTATAATACCGAGTAATTTATAAGTTGTTACGCATTCAAAGGTGTTGTTACCTGGGACAATTGGTCTTGTAGTAAACTATCATTTTGCATGAAGTTAATTAACATTTCTTTGCATTTTTCGGGTTTAATTTCATATTGTTCGATAGAAACTTGTGAATATCATTGACAACTACATTTAGTAAGCTAAATACCGTTTCTTGGCAGGATTTCTAATGGTATCATCAACGAATTTAATCCTCAAATGCCATTCACGGAAAAGATTGTTGGTCATTACAGCAAACAAAATCACACCCAGTTTCGTCCCTTGTGGGATACCTCCCCTGGGTGACTTCCAATGAGACAGAGAGTTACCAATCCTTACAGCTTGCGATCTCCAGTCAGGAAGGCACTAATCCAGTTAATAAAGACAGTGTCTATATGGAAAGACGCCAACTCCCTGAGAAGAATTCAATGGTCAATCCGGTCAAAACCCTTAGAAACATCGGCAATTCCCACAATTCCCACCATCAGTTGCTTCGTCAATCGTCTGTAAGATATAAATCAAGACGTCCGTGGTGGAGTGCCCCTCCCTTGCGTACTGGCGTGGATCACGTTTTTCCGAAATTTGTGCCACGAGCCTGCTGCGCGCAAACCCTTCCATGACTTTGGCAAGGGTGCATGTCAGAGAGATAGTTCCCAAACTCATTAATAATTCATGCTGAGAAAACAGAGGAAATTACAACCGTGAAGGAGGTTTGAACATGTGATATTAATTATCCTAAAATTTGGTGAACTTTTCCTTTGATTTTCTCCAAGAATTATTGATGGTCTGAGAAGCTATATCAAACATTCGAGAGGGTGTTTCGTCCGATATCCAAACACCTTGAAGTTGGTTAAGAAAAACTCGGCTGCGCCTAATTTTTTCCACCACTTCTCGGTGTTTAGATATCGGATGAAACACTCTTCCTCGTGCTTGATATATTACGTCTCAAGTCATTGAATTTCTTGAGGCGGAGAAACCTTGGGCAGGGGGTTGATTATGGATCGCTTCAGCAGATCAGGAACATATCCCTCCCTGAGTGAGCATTTATAAATATCCACAATTAGCGGGGTGAGTTCAAATATTGATGACCGTATAACTTTTTTGCATCGTATCATAACTATACCACTTTGCCTGATTATTTCTCTCGCATCATATACAAAGATTTTTCGCACTCTCAGATATCATCAGGCTCAGGCTGAAGATCCTGTTCAACATCAGCCGAGCCAGCTAAATGTACTGAACATAGCTCAATACAGAAAAGCAGTGCATAGTGCACTGTGGGTGAAGTTAGCATTTGTTGTTTGTTTTACACCATTCTTTATCGTGGTAACCGCGATTGCACATAGTAAAACACATTCATCGCATTTGGTCATCCTAAGGGGAATAATCGTTGTCTTAGTTACTTTAACTCGACGTTAAACCCGTTTCTTTACGGATGGAAGATAAGTGAAGTAAGACAAGCAATGAAGCAGACAATCCGACAAGCACTTTGCTGTCCATGGAGTTAGACCATCTCGACTTTTACCCGATCGTACTAGTACTTTCAGTTCAAAACTGACTGATAGGGAACGCTCGTCAATCAGCTACACCATGATATATATCTTTGCTCGAGGTCTCTCGATTGTATATTTCGCACCTTAACAACTAAAGGGAAGGCAATGGAAAAACTAACCATAAATTTATGAAAGTATTCTTAAAACTACCTCACATTATCATGAATGAATCAATTCATAATCTAAGAAAAGATATGCGCGCGTATGATCATACTCTCACGTTTGTGATTGTAAGTAAGTGTACGGAACAAAATTGAAGTAAGAACGGTTTGTACAAAGTTCTCTTTCAGGTTCACCGTTCCGCTGAAATTATATGCTAAAGGAAAAAGGAATGTTGAATTAAAAAAAAAAATCGACTTTTAAAAATATCAGATAGAAAGGGTCGCTTTATTCCCAGTTTGTTCATGGTGCATTTTTAATTGTCTCCACGTGATTTGATTCTATTTTACCATTTTCCGAGCGATTAACTGTCCTAAACTTTCCCTATATCTCTTTCAAGTCGTTTCATAAAGTTTTATTGAATTCAGAATTGACCAAAATACAGCGAGAGTATTTCCAATTGATTATCGGGCTTAGAAATAGTAGTATATCTTAATATACTGCTTATTTCTTTACTTAAAAAAGTCGCAGTCGAGTTCCTTTATTGTTTTGAAAACAGTAATATAGCTGTTGTCTTCATGTTTGCCAAGGGATATGACTTTAGTGCTAATTTGTACTTGAGGTAAATTTTACTGATTGAGGTAAACAGCTAATAGCGGCCAATTTAAACACAGCGGTCAAACACTGCGCATGCACATGTTTTGAAAGAATACGAGGGATTTTCAAACGCGTGTTTTACGTGAAGTGAAGAAGGAAAAGTTAAATTCCTAAATATTCCAAATTGAATGCGTAATGCAGTTGAAAGAGGGTTTTTGGAGAAAGCTTTAAGCTTGGCCTTATTTTATAGTGAGAAATCTCATCTTATTTTTAACGAAGACGCTTTGTTCCGGCGATAAAGGTAAATTACAGAACTTTTCCTTTATCCTCGCCAGCACGGCCAAGCTAACAACTTCATCACACCGCCAAGCAAAGTTTAAAAGAAAGTACGAGAGTGTAAACTAGCACAACATGGGTTAAGTCTAGAACAACAATGCTTATAAGTCTAGGCCTAAGAGAACTTTAAACTTTTCCAAGAAACTGCGAAAAACTACACATCACTTAGACTTTCTCTGCGCTCGATCTGCGCGCACGTTTTATGTAACTTAAGGTAGCTCATGTGGCTTAGTATTTTAGATTCTGTAGTGCAGAATGTTTTGTTCTTTGTCAAATCCAAAGTGAAGATATGCACTTTCTTTGAAAGGAATTTTAACAAAATTTTCCGTGGAAAGCGAGTATTAAATAGGTGGGCGTTTATGCTGCGTGATACATGTTCTTTTAGCCAGCTGCGTAAAAGGCTCTCAAGAGAAGAGGAGAGGAGACTACCCTCCCCTCCCTTTGGATGACTGGCTACGCAGACTAACGTACACTTACCAAATGAAGGTTTTCAAACGTGCGTGCAACATTTCCGACGTTAACCTCTTCCAGGTTAATAACCTCGGTTATTATGGACGTACTGTACAACTAACAACATTGAGCTTAATTGAAACAATTAGGGCCCCTCCGCAGTACGCAAGTCTTTGTAAAATTTGAAAAAAATTAGTACGAAACTCTTTTTAACAAATGCAGACGAACAGTTATTTTAATCCCTGCCAAATTATGTCAAGACGGACAAAACTTCAAAAGTACGGCCGTCCTGCCTCCTAACAGGACAGATTTTGTCAACAGGAATCCATTAGGGTAATGAGCTCCTGTGTCAACCATAAAAATCTGACAGATAAGTGCCTAAAGGTTTTTATAATTGATTAACCAGTTCACGTGAATTTTACGAGGTGAAATTGACAGCTCGTAGTTGGCAAATCACATTTGTTTGTTTTTTAGTGCTGACCTGGGGGTGGGGTGAGAAGGGTTAGGCGATGACAAATGGGTGAGGATGCTTGTCGTACCTTTTTTTAGGTCAAAATCAGCGATCTGGTACCTTTTACGGTGTCTGAAACTTAAGTGGACTACCAGAGACGTAGTTGGTACCTTTTAGGGTGTTTTTTTCGCTCAAAAAAAAAAAAAAAACTGAAATATGCATTACTAGGAAGATTTTTGTCTTATGTACAGGGTCCCCCGGGGGATGCTGATACGTGCAGCATGCTTCAAATTTAGCAAGGACAAATTTGATGTGATTTTTGGTGAAGAGAAACAAGTTTTGTCAGCGTCTAATAGCAAGTACGGGAGGGCCTTTTACTACTGTATGCATAATTACGCGTCCCGCCAGACGGCGGGAAGCCAACAAAGTGTTCAGACATTAGTTTAGAAAACTCCGCCTCTGTCTGGATTTTTGGTAGCCTCCTTACCAATTCCCAGTCGAGACTTAAGTCTGACGGGAGGCGTAATTTTGCACACGGTGGTAAGTAGCGTACTTACCGGAGCCAGGTTGTAAGAATTTTCCAAATACCTTGAGTATTATCCGTGAAACACGCTTGTCAATTCCCCTATCGCCTTTTGGAATCGACTTGACCCTGCCTTCACCATGGCCGAACACTTCTTTTGGCACTCTACATCTGCTATTGGAACCACGACTCCATCCAACACCGAGATTTGATCTATGAGTGGGGCAAATTGTCAAATCATCGATATCTTTCGGCGTCTTGAAGATGCCGGCTCGCGACAAAATCAGATCAACTTCATTTTCAGCATCTGAAGACTTGCAAAACTTTTTTCGTAAATTGTAGTGATTTATGCCAGTAAACGGTGGCGACAAGTAGGCACCATGTATATTTCATAGTCGCTAGCAAGTATATTTTGTCCGACTTTGAGTTCGTCTCACGTTAGAACAACACAAATACACAAGGAGATTTTTACAGTAACTTCATAACCATCCTTTTGTATTTCAAAAGCTAGAAGCTCAGTAGATTTTGTCATATCGGTCATTGTTTAAACTGTCTTTGTCTTTATGCTACTTTTCGACATAGAAAAAATATTTCGGACAAAAATATTCACCAAAAAATAAATATTTCTTTGCCAGCTTCAATAATGACAGGGGATTAAGTTTAGATGATACAACAAAGGATTATGCTGTCAGAAATAGCGGAGGTCAAGTATGTTCGTTACACGAGGTCACACAACTCGAGTAACATTCACGGTAAAATTTGCATATTTGAGCGGTAAAGCTAAAAAATTATTTCTCGAATAAGAAAACATATTCTCACAAAAATCTACACCACAATTATTAGGACATATTGGGCTACAAAATATGAAAGTATGAGTGAAAACAATTTTGGGTGACTTGCCGCTGTTTGTCTAATGTTTGTTGACATTAGCTCTTAAATTTTTCCGAGATTAAACGTAAGACTCCATCTCCTCCGCTCAACTAAAGGCGAATTTCTACCTGAGAAGACGGAGTTTAAAATAATTGCGAAATACCAATAGTATCATAGATGTCTATCTTTACGTTTGACTCTTAAATTAAGGTAATTTGTTGCTATTTTGGTCACTTTTCCTTATGAACTTTCATCGATAGGGAGCTAATCAAGTGTCCATATCATCTGTGTGAAATTAGGACTTCAATCATTACCAGCCTCGACAAACTGAAATTACGAAGATCAGGCGGAGAACTTTGAATGATGTAAAAAAAAAATTGGACTCGTGATTGGACTAAAATTGGACTAAATATTCTGATTATTTCATTACTTAGAAAAAGTCACACTCAAGTTCCTTTATTGTTTTGAAAGCAGCAATTTAGCTGATATCTTCATGTTTGCCATGGGATTTGACTTTAGCGCTAATTAGTGCTCGAATTAAATTTTATTGATTGGAGTAAACAGCTAGTAGCGGCCAATTCAACCACAGCAGTCAAACACTGCGCATGCACGTGTTTTGAAAAGAATACGGGGGATTTTCAAACGCGTGTTCTGCGTAAAGTGGAGAAGGAGAGGTTAAGTTCCTAACTATTCCAAATTGAATGCGTAATACAGATGAGAGAGGGATTTCGGAGAAAACTTAAATCTTGGTCTAAATCAAATTACAGAACCTTTCTTCTACCCTCGCTACACAGTCTACTATCATAACATAGACCTGTTATCGTCACCAATATCTTATGTGGCACTGGTTCTTACTTTTTTCACACATTTCCCTCGGTGATGACGGCAACTCCACCATAAATGCAATAAGGAATAACCACCGCCAGCACGTCCAGGCTTACGATTTCATCGCGCCGCTAGGCAAAGTTTAAAAAAAAGTACGAGAGTGTAAACTAGAACCACATGGGTTAAGTCTAGAGCAACAAAGTGTATAAGTCTAGGCCTTAGAAACTTTGAACTTTCCTAAGAAACGGCAAAAAACTACGCATCATTTGGATTCTCAATGTCTAGAATAGCAAATTATCCATCTAAAAGCGCACGCCTAATCATTTGACCGCCGTGTTGCTTATTTATAGCTGTTTTCCAGTCAAGCTGCAGTCGCTATTCGGAATAATTAAAGAAGAGATAAATGGGAAGGAGAATCGCCGAGAAAAGAACTTTACACAAGAATCAAATAAGTTGTTGCATTTTTTTTGACAATGAAGGCACTCGTGTGGTTTGCTTCTCAGCTATTTCCCCATCGATGAATAAAATAATGCTTTAAAAGTTAAAATAAATAATGTAGAGTCGAAAGAAAAGTAAATATGTTACGAAATGAATAATTTAGTATTTGATGAAATTTCGTACTCAAAACGAGGCCGAGGGTGTCATGGCTGGATGATGTCTCCTCAGTTTCCTGTGTGCTTCATATCTTAATTAATTAACCCTTTAACTCCCATGAGTGACCAAGACAGAATTTCTCCTTACAATATCAATACAAAATCAAACAGATAAGTCCTTTGCAAAATCAAACAGATAAGTAGTGAGAGTAAAGAAAAATATCAATTTGGGGATAATTAGTTGATCCAATAGTATATTCTCTTGACTAACATTATAAGAATTGTATGACTGATAGTAAGGAGAAATAACAATTTGATCTGGGAGTTAAGGGGTTAACACACACTATTTACTAGTTAAGATGCAGTCGCTATTCGGTTGACGCGATACAGAGAGGCTGTGTAGAGTGCACTGCGGGTGCAGTTAGCGTTAGTTGTTTGTTGCGCACCAATCTATAGTAAAACATATCAATCAGACTCAGTCGTTGTATGGAGAGTATCAGTTGTCTCATTTTACTTTAACTTGAAGTTATATCCGTATTTTGCTGTTAGAAAATTTGGGAAGTAAGACAAGCAGTAAAACAGACAATCAGAGAAGTACTTTGCCGTCCGTAGCGTTACCTCCTCCTCGGTTTGGTCTTGTAAGACTTTCATTAAGTCACGATAATTGTTAGGGAGCGCTCGTCAAAAATATGATTGCTTAAGCGGAGGAAATTAGAAGTTCAATGGAATCGTTGTACGTCGATCTTTTGTCAATATTCTTTTCAAAGAGTAAACGCTATTGAGGGAGTCTGAAGTAAATGTTGCTGATGAAGGTAGAATTGAACAACTGTTCACAGTTCAGAAAATGGTTTGCTGGTGTTATAACTTGATCCTGTTACTGTTTTCGCAATTAGATACACAGTTAATTTCAAATATTTTGAAACAAGTTTGTATGTGTAGCCGTTCATTAATTTTGAATAGTTGTGTTGTCGACGTAGTACATTGGGTGATTGTCACGAATTCAGTTTTTCTCCCAGAACAACTGACATCGCCAGCTTGAGCCTTTGCATTTTTAGCTTTCCGTAGCTGATAATGATTGAAGTCTTAACTTCACACGAAAGATATGGACCCTTGATTTGCATCCTATTATGATGGAATTTGATTCTGGTAAATGCGGCTCTTTGCCGCAATGTAAAAACACTGAAATAACAGATGTTTCTAGATTTGCCTTTATTTGCTATTTCATAAAAGAGGCACTAAAAGGTTCCCGGGTAAAAAAAATGGTTTTTTGATCCAATAGAAAATTTCCTGATGCATTTTAAATGAGTAAGTCAGTATGCGAGTGTTAGTTACGTAGTTGGGCTTTGGTAATCCTCGCTGTCATTTTTCGTTGCAAGAACAGAAACCCACAAGAAAAGTAAAACGCCGAAGACAGAATTATGTCGACAACAAGTTTCAGTAGCGGTAGAAGTCACACGAAATTATTCCAAGAACTGCAATGCTCTCCCTCTTTGATGGTTGGGCTTCAACAACAACAATTAATTTGCTTCTTAGCAGTTGACATTCTCCTCTCCATCACAGCATTTGCAGGAAATTTTCTTATCCTTGTGGCCCTTCACAAGGAATCTTCCCTGCATCCGCCGTCCAAACTCCTATATCGTTGTCTGGCAACAACTGATCTGTTGGTTGGTCTTGTTGCTCTCCCTCTCCGTGCTCTATATTGGATGTCCGTGGTTCAAGAACACTGGAGCCTTTGTCGATACGCAAGAGACGCAGCCATCATCACAGGCTATGTATTGTCTTTAGTGTCTTTGATGACGACGACGGCCATCAGCGTGGACAGACTTCTCGCCTTGTTGTTGGGACTGAGATACAAGCAAATTGTAACTTTGAAGCGCACGTATATTATTGTAACTACCTTTTGGGTTTTTAACCTTGTCATCACTTTAAGTAGATTTCTTCATCATCCTATAACCTTTTTGTACTTCTACCTAGTTATATCATTTTGCCTGGTAATATCAGTCGCATCCTACGCAAAGATTTTTTGCACTCTCAGATATCACCAAGCACAAGTACGAGATCAACAACAGCTGAGCCAAACAAATGCACTGAACATGGCGCGATTCAGAAAGGCAGTATACAGTGCACTGTGGGTGCAGTTAGTATTGGTTGTTTGTTATGTACCAGTATATACATTGACAGTTGTGATCACTCATACTAAAAAATACTCATTACTCTTAGTCGTCACATGGAGTGTAGCAGTTATTTTACTTTCCTTAAACTCGACGTTAAACCCGTTTCTTTATTGCTGGAGGATTAGTGAAGTGAGGCAAGCCGTGAAGCAGACAATCAGACAAGCACTTTGTTGAACTAGGCTTTCCTCGAGTTCTTCAGACTTTTAAAGCAGACTTATTGAGTCACGATTATTATTGGAGAGAAGTCGTCAGATAAGTTATTGGATCTAAACAAATAAGTGGCTCAATAGAATAGTTGCGCAGGCTGTTGTCGATAGTCTTTTTATCTCTGAGAACAATTTCATGACAGACTAGGTAACCTTAGCTATGTGTTTTCAAAAATATGGTTTCTTGCCGCTATGCTAAAATACAAGATGTTATAATCGAAGAAAAGATATGCAAAAATTTTACCTTCATGTTTTCTCCTCTTAGCAATATGAAGGTATCAGATAAAACTTCGAAGAGTAATTTAAGAGATGTGTTTGAGGCCGATGTTGTGTGTTTCGAGAAAACTATTTCGACTCATTAAACTCGTAATTAAAAGAAAGCGCTTGACGTTGATGTTGACGCCATATTGCCAAAAGAGACAGTCCAGTTTAAGTCTAGAATTTGTTTGTTTTGTGATCAGAAAATTACCCGTAAAGCTTATGTGGAGAAGTTTCTGTTACTTGTATATTTAACTGAAAGTTACGAAAGTATATGAAATAAAATTGATTATCTCTGTTTGTTATGGAATTTTTTTACAGATCGATCGATGTGCTGAAGTTATATTGGCAACGGTGAAAAACAAGTTTCGTATCATTGTATAGAGGTCACCATATGTTCAGTTTGTTGCTGGTGTGTCTTTAAGTTGTCTCTGAGTTTTACGGATTTTATTTCCTCCATTTCCGAGTGATTAACTGCTGTCCCAAAGTTCCTCAAATGTTTTTTTTTATTCGTTTTCAAAGCTTTAGTATGAGCTCAGAATTTGCTTCAATACCATACCATCTAATTATCGCCCTAAAAACGACATGTTTATTTCACCCATTAAAGAAGTGATAAAATAGATCTTTTAAGACTTAGGAGTCTCATATCGTATTGTAAAACAAAAAAATATAGCCCATGTCTTTGTGTTTGTCAAGGAAATTCCCTTTCAATGCTAATTTGAAATTAAACTGAAACGTTATCTAGTAAAATCAACAGCTGGTTGCGACAAACATCTTTTTGTTTCATTAGTTTTAAAGCTACCGTCGCTGTACTGAAAAGAAAATTCCCTGGGAAAGAACTCTTTCTGAGGAAGGATTGACGCATCTCTTAGCAATTAATTAAGTCATTCATCTAGTTTTTCTGTCAGCTAATCCTCCGTCGGTAAATGAAATGACTGATTTGAAGCCGGAATAAAATGTTGAATCTATAAAGAGTAATTATTCTGCAAAAACAAAATTTGCTTTGACCCCAAACTTAAACGAGGCGGCGTGTCTGTGGTGGTTAAGTAATTTCTCCTAAACTTTAACAGAGTATTTTTAACGATTGTTTCGTGCGTCTGTGTGCGGTCATTAATATACGATGCACGCAGGAAGTTTGGGAGCTTGAAAGATACGCTGGAATTGCTTAACACGCAACCAAGAATGATTTTAGGTTCATAAATAATAAATGCTGTTAATGTAAGTTTAACAAGGTACAGTTTTTGACTCGACTTCGTCTCGGGAATTATTCAACAATATTTACTTCATCTTTGGCAAATAATTCTTGAATTTTTTTATCGATTGTTGATAAATTTTAAGAATACATTCCTTCATTTTCCCTCTCGATCAATAGTTTATCATGTTCACTCTAGCATAGCCATGTAACTCGGGTTATCGGAGAGAAATGGCGAATCGCACAGGGGAATTACGACACGAAGAAATTCAGACACCTGTCGTATACATGAAAGCTTACTTGGTATCCGACTGATTTTTATCCTCATTTCGCGGACAAGAAGTAGGCAGAGAAAAATTTCATAACTAAGGTATAATAGGCTAACTTTGGCTTATAATTTTTCCAGGACAATCCTTACAAAATTGATGGCGAAAGGAGGAGAACAAAAAGAAAATGTAAAAGAAACAGCAAAAAATTTTTTGAACACGTAATTTCTTGCTTTTCTTTTGTTTTGTTTCTCGTTATCCCGGAAACGTAACGGAGATAAAAGAGCCAAAAAATGTTACCAATCACACAGTTAAATTTAAATATCTTAAAATAAGTTTGCATCTGTAGCCTTATATCCTCAAACTTATTCAATTCGTATTAAAGCCATAATATTGAGTGCCTTCTGGCAAGCTAAATAAAGCGGGATTGTTTGTTGCAATATGAAATAATAATTTTAAAGATGTCTTTGAATATTTGCTACTTATTCCTATTTCATACGTGATGTACATGACAAGTTAGGCGCAAAAAAAGGCTTTTTTGACACAGCGAACAATTTTCTGACGTATTTCAAACGTGTAAACAATAGTCAGGAGGTTTTTATTTGAAATGTTATGTAGGAAATAGAGTTTCAGGAATCGCTCTTGTGCAATTGGCGTTAACTAAGATGAAATATTTCTCTGGTTTCTATCATAGATTAACTCATGACAAGAATATTGTCAACTTTTGAAATAGTTGATATATCCAGTTTAATGCTGGTCTATGTTTAAGTTGTCTTCAAGTTTTATTGATCCTATGTCTACCAACTCCGAGTGATTAACTTTTCCTAACTTTCTCTCCTTTTTTCCTTGAACTCATTTCCCGAAGCTTTTTCGGAATTCAGAATCTATCACAATGCAGGGATAATGATTGCACTAATTACCGGCCCAAAAGAATGACTGTATATTTAAATATACCGCTTAAACCGCTCATGCTGTCATTCAAAAACTGACAAAAGAGAGTTTCCTTATCATATCGTCAAAGGAAGATATTACTGACCCATGTCTGTGTGCTTGCCAAAGGAATTAACTTTAAAAGAAGAAAAATTGTAGATCGAAAATGACAAATGTAAAGTTGGAATAAAAATTGGCATCAAACGAAAAGAAATGATTATTTTGGTACCTGATGGAACCCTGGGATTAAAACGATACCGAGCGCGTAGTGCCATCATGGCTGGTGCAAAACAATGGTTTCTCCGCCTCCTTTATTTTCAGTTAACGCTTATTTTTCTTATCTTGTTGACCAAAGGGATGAAGAAAGGAAATTACATCATAGGAAGAAATAGGCAAAATAAGCAAAACAGTTTTTGTTTAAAAAAATACCATTATAACTTTCCTGACGAAAGGAAAAAAGGCAGTAGAGAACGAAATTAAAGAAATGGTTTGGCGCGCGGCATAACATCTTGTTACGGTTTTGTTTTTGATATAAGTCCGTAGACGCAAAACAAAACGGAAAGAAAAAAGCACGTCTTTACAAATCGACTCAAACATTTAAAAATACGTTTGCATCTGTGACCAAAATATAAATTTGAATTGTTTGATGTATTCGCAGATTGTCTCCAATCCAACTTTTCTAAGACCAAGTAAAATCGCCAGCTTGAAATTTTTATTTCCAGTTCTTCATGGCTACTAATGATACAAGTCTGAACTTCACACGAATTATTTGGACACCAGGTTAGCTCTATATCAGTGAAAGTTGATCCAAGTAAAAGGAGATTGTTCGTCGTTCTTTTAAAAGAATAATACTACAGATGTCTCTCCATTTTCTACTTATTGCCATTTTATACCGAGGCACTTTTAATCTATAGAGAGTAATTATTTTGCGAAAACGAAAATTTTTCCAACTTAAAACGAGGCGGCGTATCTGTGGTGGTTAACTAATTTTTCCTAATCTTTGACAGGGTATTTTTAACAATTGCTTCGTGCGTCAGTGTGCGGTCATTAATATACGATGCACACAGGAAGTTTGGAGAGCTGGAAAGATAAGCTGGAGTTGCTGAACAAGCAACCAAGAGTGATCTTAGGTTCACAAATAATAAATGCTGTTAATGTAGGTTTAACTAGGTGTAGGTTTTAACCTCGACTTCCTCTCGGGAATTATTCAACAATATTCACTTCATCTTCGGCAAATAACTGTTAAATATTTTTATCGAGTGTTGATAGTTTTTAAGTATCCATTCCTTCATTTCCGTTCTCGATCAATAGATAATCATTTTCCCTTAAGCATAGCCATATAACTCTGGTTACTGGAGGAGAATGACTAGTCGCCCAGGGGAATTACGACATGAAGAATTCAGTCACTGCTGTATACATGAAAGCTTGCTAGAAACCAAACTATTTTTCTTCTCTTTACGCAGACGAGACGTTAGCAAAGAAAAATTTAGACGAACTTTGTTTTATAATTTTTCCAGGACAATCACTTAAATGTGTTTGGCGAAAGGGGGAGAACAAATAAAGAATGTAAAAGAAACGGCGAAAAATTGTTTGAACACGTAATTTCTTGCTTTTTTTAGTTTCGTTTCTTCTTTTGTCGGAGACGAAATGGAGGTAAAAGAGCCACAAAACGTTACTAATCACACAGTTGCATTCAAATGTCCTAATTAAATCATCTGTAGCCATGCATTAATTTTGAATCGTTGTACAAATTCAAATTACTGGACTGATTGTCATAGGTTTGACATCCTTAGCTTAAACTTTTATTTTCAGCTTGCTGAGGCTGATAACGATTCAAGGTTCAACCTTACACAAATGATATTGAAATTTGATTGACAGCCTATATTAATAAAACAAGGTTGTATAAACCTTCGATTGTTTCAGGTTTCATTATCAGCACTGCGGCACGGCGTTCCTTCGCCCCCGAGTCGTGTTACTCGAAGCCTCAAACTTATTCACGGGCGAAGTAACTCGTATTGAAGCCTTTATAGTGAATGCCTTCTCGCAGGCTAAATAAAGCGGGATTGTTTGTTGCAACATGAAGAAAATGATATTAAAGATGTTTTTAAATATTTGCCTCTTATTCCTATTTCATACGTGATGTACATGACAAGTTAGGCACAAAAAAAAAACTTTTTTGACACAGCAGACGATCATCTGATGTATTTTAACGATTAAATAATAGTGAGGAAGCTTTTAGATGATTGCTATGTAGCAAATAGGGTTTAAGTGATCGTCGTTGTACAATTGCTGCCTTAACGAAATATTTTTCTCGCTGCAATCATGACAAGAAACGGGAAACGAAAACAGAATAAAGTCGACCGAGCTTTTTGCAATTCATAATCTACCACCATACAGGGAATATTTCTCCAAGTGATCATCATCCCAAAATAATGACATTATATCTAAATAAACCGGCAATTCTCTTATTCTCCATCTCGATAACAAAATTACCCTGTTTACTTTATTATTGGAAACTAATTGTCATGACCAAAGGAGAATTGTTAATTGCTCAAGAGTATCGCCTGAACAACAACCGAATAACTTCCCTTTACATGTAAACTTACTTGATATGGAAATAAATTATTTTCTCGTCATCATATCAAACTCACGGGGTACAAATAGTCTTAACATGAATATAGTGACCACGCCCACTTCAACGCCCCACTCAAATCGAGTGTAATTTTCGAACATTTTACCATCGTGCGGATTCTCTACGGAAAAAGCACCCAATGTACCTCTGAAATATTAAACTACAATATTGTGGCTTTCTATTTCGCTAATTTTCTAACTTGAAGGTAAAGCTTTTCCCTCGTCATTTTAACCTTTTCTCCGAGCGGTTGCGTGAAATTAACAAGGCGTTTTTGTTCAAAACACAACCGAGCGAAGCGTCTCGGGCGATATCCCTTTTACACAAGCGCAATTTAAAAATGTACCGCCAGAATCGAAAAAAGGAACAAATTTCCTTTGTTTTGATATGTTAAGTGTCGAACAAAAAGCAGATTTATCCTCGTCAAATGGCGTTTCAAAACAGCTGTATCTTCCTCCTTTTGTTTTTTTCCTGTTTCGTGTGCGTGAAAGCAGTAGGAGAGCGATCGGGAAACTCAGAAAGCACTTCGGGAATCAATCTGCCATTGTTTACTTACGAGATAAACAAGTAAGATTTGTGAAGTTCATCGCAGTATGAAGTCTAAATAAATGCCTTTTTAAAGCTTGTTAGCTGGATTTTTCGTAAACTTCCCTGATTAATTTTTCGTTTCAGCTTACTAATCTATACTATTTCAAAGAAAAGAAGTTTTCAGAGAAAACCATGAGTCGGTCCTTTCAATAATTGCAAACAAAGTGTTTGAGCAATCAGGTATACGAGGTATAATAATCAATAGCCATATATCAGAAGTCTTCAGAAAGAAAATATTCTGTTTTCAGAAAGCTGTCAAGAAAGCTAGTAATCGTGGCAATTAAATGCACTTCTTAGCAATTTGGAAACGGGCCCTCGGTATCGATTTAAGGTGTATTACAACGAGGTTGATGTACATCAGCTTAAAGATGAGAATAGCCAGTTGAGGGGAGAAAAAAATAAAATTAGAAGAATCGTTGGTGCAGGAGAAGGCAAAGCGATTGCGAGTGGATAAAAAATCTCGAGAAGCTCTCGAGAAAGCTGAGAAGAAAGGGGCCTTCTACAATAACAAATTTATTCAGTTGGCCAAAAAGTTATTACAAATGGGAAAAAAAGTAGAGGCCCAGCTAAGTAGAAGTTTAATGACTATTCCAAGCACCATCAAAAGAGCAGTAGTTGCCAAACTACACTCTCCTTTCTTGGGCTGTACAATTTTGTTGCAGCCAAAATTGAAGTCCTCAACACTGAGACTAATCAATATGAAACTTTCAGTCTTGTTGGAGAGGGAGAGCTGCCATTTACAGAGTCTGACCCAAAGGCCCTTAATAATGATGACATTGATAACATAAATATGTGGCTCTACCTCAAAGATAAATTCATTATTTCAAATGAGGCCTGGCATGAAATTGCCATTAAGGCTAATGATCTCCCCAATATATATTCCATCAAGAAGCAAATTAATGAGCTAAAGAGTAGATGGAACTTGAAACCAACACCAGGAGATGCTGAAGGTGTTCAGTTAGGATTTGCAGAAAGCTTGCAAGAGCACATTGTTAAGCTTCAGAAGAATGGAGAAATCAATGATGGAGAAACTATTAAGATCAAGCTTTGTGGTGATGCTACAAATATTGGAAAGAGGCTTACAGTTGTCAACTTCACTTTTACTATTCTCCATGAAAAGGATGTGGCAATGGGTGAGAAGGGAAATTATATACTTGCTGTTATAAAAACTACAGAGACATATGATAATCTGAGAGACAGCCTAGCAGACCTTCAAATGGAAATGTCAAACTTAAAGGAGATAAGTGCAAATAATTGCACCTATAAAATTGAATACTTTTTAGATGGAGATTTGAAATTTTTAGCACTGGTATGTGGTTTAGGCAAGGCAAATGAGGATTATGCTTGTGTGTGGTGCAAGTGTCCCAGGGAGGAACGGTGGGACACAAGCAAAACATGGTCAATTAATGACCCCAAATTTGGTGCTAAAACTGTCACCAAAATAGCAAGGTTTTCCACTGGAAAGAAATTAAACTGTAAGGCACAACCATTATTTGATTTTATATCTATGGACCATGTCATCATAGATACATTACATTTTTTTCTGAGGATTTCAGATGTTTTGATTGACTTGTTCATAAGAGAGCTGAGAAGAAGTGATGCTATTGAGAAAAAAAAACCTCTGATGGATTCCCAAGGGATAAATATAAACACATGGCATGTTATGAAGAATTTATCAAAAGTATGGGAATCACTTTTAATTTTAGAATCAACAAAGAGAGTAAAAAGCTGGAATATAGAGATCTTACTGAACCAGAAAAGTTGAAACTCTTCCAGAATATAAACATTCCGACCTATGCTTGTCCCTCATTGCAGTCAAAACAAAGACATACAAGTGATCTGGGCTAAATTTATGGATATAATTGGTGATTTGAAGCTAGATTTTACATCTGAAGAGGGTATTCTTGAACTGCAAAGAAATATCAAATCATGGTTTGAGCACTTTCTCAAAGTTTACCAAGCAAAAGATGTCACTCCCTACATGCATGCACTATGTTATCATGTTCCTGAGTTCCTGTAACTTTATCACTATGTTATCATGTTCCTGAGTTCATGTAACTTTATCAGAACATAGCATATTACACACAGCAAGGCTTGGAAAAATACAATAGTAGAGCTTCTAAAGATTTCTTCAGATCCACAAATCACAAAGGGGTTGATGCCCTCAAACAACTGTTTCTGAAGAAAAACAGGATTCAGTTCCTGGAGGCAGTAGGTTATGAAAGGGTTAAGAACACCTACAATGATGAGCTTGTATTCAATGATTGGACTTCTTTGTCCCAGCCAATACTTAATAGTCCCTGGAATTACATAGGCAAAATCTCCAGCTACATTTAAAATTCTTTCATCCCACTTCAGCCTCAGATACGAATCAGGCACCCTATTTGACTTCAACTGGTAAACCATCTTCCCTCTTTGAAGAACGCCGGGCAAAAGACTCCCAAGACCTTCCATGAAGATATCTTGGTCAACATTAAGGTCTATGTTTATATCAGGGTCCTCTCGCCGTCCAGACCAAAGCTTTTTCTTTATTTCACGAACAAGTTGGCCATGGAACGATTCTTTTCTATCCTATAGAGAGTTTTCCGAGGGAATGAACAGCTTTTCGCTGCGAACAAACGGAAAATATCCAGATCCTCTATCGGCCCAGAAGGGTGTCCATTCATCGAAGCATGTGCTATAGCCAACGTAATGAATTTTCAACCTCTCTTGTTGATTTTGTCAACCTCCCTGATCTCAGTATCATACAGTTTTGTATCTTTCTATCGTGTATTCGCCTTTCTAACGGGGGTGTATGTTAAGTATTTATTGTAAAATCGCTTTGCTTCTTTATTTCCCTCTTTGACCTGTCCGCCATTTTGAAAATTCGCAACGGAGAGCATGTGCATTACTTAGGGTTAGTGGTCGCGTACACCTGGAACCGTCGCGCTGGGGAAAGAGTTTGATATGATTTGAACAAGACATTAGAAACAAACAAATTGCAGATAGGTTCTAGAAGGCCATCTTTCGTTCGTCATTATCCGGGATAATCAATATAAATTTGCTGGCCAAAGAAGAAGGACAACAGTTGAAGTGAAAGAGGAAATTGCAGAAAATTGTTTGCTGAGGTAATAACTTGATCTTGTTACTATTTTGTTTTTAGTTCTAGTCGGATACGAAACGGAGAGAAAAAAAGCCACACAGCGCAATTAGATAAACATTTAATTTCAAATATTTTGAAACAAGTTTGTATGTGTGGCTGTACATTAATTTTAAATAGTTGTGTAGTCTACGTAGTACATTCCGTGAATGTCACGAATTCAATTTTTCTCCTACAACAATTGACATCACCAGCTTGAGTTTTTGCAGTTTTAGCTTTCCATTACTGATAATAATTCAAGTCTTAACATGACGCAAAAGATATGGACCGTTGTTTAGCATCTATTATAATGGAATTTAATTCTGATAAAGAGCGACTCTTTGCCGCACTGTAAAAACATTGAAATAACAGATGTTTCTATATTTGCCTTTAATCGCTATTTCATAACAGAGGCACCCAAAGGTTCTCGGGAAAAATAATTTTTTTGACCCAACAGAAAATTTTTTATGCGATTGTCAGTTAGGAAGCAAGGGAAACGCCGAAGACAGAATTATGTCCACAACAAATTTCAGTAGCGGTGGAAGTCACACGAAATCATTTCAAGAACTGCAATGCTCTCCCTCTTTGGTGAGTGGGCTTCAACAACAACTATCGATCTTCTTCGTAGCGGTTGACATTTTCCTCTCCATTACGGCATTTGCTGGGAATTCTCTCATCCTTGTTGCCCTTTCCAAAGAATCTCCCCTACATCCGCCGTCCAAACTCCTGTATCGTTGTCTGGCAACCACTGATCTGTTGGTTGGGCTTGTTCCCCAGCCTCTCAATGCTCTCTACTGGGTGTCCGTGTTTCAAGAAAACTGGAGCCTTTGTCGCTACGCATTTGACGCAACCATAACCACAGCCTATGTATTGCTTTTAGTGACTCTGATGACGATGACGGCCATAAGCGTGGACAGACTTCTCGCCGTGATGTTGGGACTGAGATACAAACAAATTGTAACTTTGAAGCGCACGTATATTATTTTAACTACCTTCTGGGTTTTTAACCTTGTCGCCTCTTTAAGTGGATTTTTTCATCACCCTATAATCTTTCTGTACAGCTCCTTAGTTACATCATTTTGCCTGGTAATATCACTCGCATCGTACGCAAAGATTTTTTGCATTCTAAGATATCATCAAGCGCAAGTGCGAGATAAACAGCCGGCGAGCCAAACAAATACACTGAACATGGCGCGATTCAGAAAGGCAGTAGACAGTACACTGTGGGTGCAGTTAGCATTAGTTGTTTGTTATACACCAATATGTACAGTGTCAATTGTGATCGCTCTTACTAAAAAATACTCATTACTCTTATTCGTCACACAGAAAGTAACAGTTATTTTACTTTACTTTAACTCGACCTTAAACCCGTTCCTATACTGCTGGAAGATTAGTGAAGTGAGACAAGCAGTGAAGCAGACAATTAGAGAAGCACTTTGCTGAGTTAGGAGTCTTCGAGTTGTTCTTCGGACTTTCAAAGCAGACTCATTAAGTCACGATTATTTTAGAGCGCAGTTGTTAAATAAGTTATTGGATAAAAAAAAAAAAAATTAGAGGCTCAATAGGATAGTTGCGCAGGCTGTTTTCGATGGTCTTCATATCTCCGAGAACAATTTAACGACAGATTAGGTAACCCTAGCCATGTGTTTTCAAAAATAAGGTTTTTTGCCGCTATGCTAAAATACAAGATGTCATAATCGAAGAAAATGTATGCAAACATTTTGCTTTCATGTTTTCTCCTCTTAGTAATATGAAGGTATCAGATAAAACTTCGAAGAGGAGTTTAAGAGATGTGTTTGAGGCCGGTGTTGTGTGTTACGATAACACTATTCCAAGTAGTTTCCCGATAATTAAAAGAAAGTGCTTGACGTCGATTTTGACGCCATAGTGCCAAAAGAGACAGTCCAGTTTAAGTCTTGAATTTGTTTGTTTTGTGATCCGAAAATTATCCGTAAACCTTATGTGAAGAAGTTTTTGTTACCTGTATATTCAACTGAAGGTTACGAAACTATATGAAATAAAATTGACCATCACTGTTTGCGACAGATTTTTTTTTTTTTACAGATCGATCGATGTTCTGAAATTATATTGCCCACGGCGAAAAACAACTTTCACATCATTTGTATAGAGGTCATCATATGTTCAGTTTGTCGCTGGTATATCTTTAGCTTGTCTCTGAGTTTTACGGATTTTTTTTCCTCCATTTCCGAGTGATTAACTGCTGTCCTTAAGTTCCTCAAACGTTTTTTATTGGGTTGTTTTCAAAGCTTTTGTATGAGCTTAGAATTTGCTTCAATATCATACCATCTTATTATCGCCCTAAAAAAACGATATGTTTGTTTCACCCATTTAAGAAGTGATAAAATAGATCTTTTAAGACTTAGGAGTCCCATATCATATTGTAAAACAAAAAATATAGTCCATGTCTTTGTGTTTGCCAAGGGAATTCACACTCGGTGCTAATTTGAAATTAAATCTGAAATGTTATTTACGGAAATCAACAGCTGCTTGCGACAAAGGAACATGTTCTTGTTTAATTAATTTTCATACTTCCTTCGCTGTGCTGAATTATTAAAGAGGACCAGAAAGAAAATTCCCTGGGAAGAACTCGTGTTAAAGGAGGGATTGACGCATCTATTAGCGATTAAACCTTTCGTATGGTTTTTCAGGGAGCTAGTCTTTGTCTGTAGTTCACATATATGATTTTCAAGTATTCACAGTCATTTATTCATCACTTCACGGGCTAATATCGAACTCACAGCTTGTTAGCTCAGTTGGTAGAGCACTGCATCGATATTGCAAAGGTCATTGGTTCAAATCCCGTATAGGCCTAAATTCTTTTTAGGCCCTTTTTTCGCTACTGCTCAAGAAGTGTTCATTACTGTGACGATTGTTTTCATATTCACGTTTCTTGTTTTGTCGGAGACGAAACGGAGATAAAAGAGCCACAAAATGTTATTAATTACCCAGTTAAATTCAAATATCCTAGATTAAGTTTGCATCTGTGGCCTTACATTAATTTTGAATCGCTATATGCATTTAAATTGCTGGACTGTCTGTCATGGATTTGACACCCTTAGCTTAAACCTTCTTTATTTTCAGCTTGCTGAGGCTGATAATGATTTAGGGCTCAACCTTACACAAATGATATGGACATTTGATTGACACCCTATCAATGAAACTAGGTCGCATAAACATCGGCCTTCGATGGTTCCAGGTTCCCATTATTAGCACTGCCTGACTGCGTTCCTTCGCCCACGAGTCGTGTTTCTTAAGGCCTCAAACGTATTGATGGGCGAAGTACCTCATATTGAAACCTTAATAGTGAGTACCTCATGGCAGGCTAAGTAAAGCGGGATTGTTTGTTGCAGCAGAAGAAATAATCTTAGCGATGTCTCTAAATATTTGCCTCTTATTCCTATTTCACACATGATGTACATGACAAGTTAGACACAAAAAGGCTTTTTTGGCACAACAGACGATCTTCTAACGTATTTCAAACGAGTAAAGATTAATGAGGAAGTTTTTAGAAAATTCATACAGGAAATAGGGTTTCAGTGATCGTCGTTGTACAATTGCTGTTTTAACGAAATATGTTTTCTCGTCGCAATCATGAAAGAAAGAAGAAATGAATACAGAATAAAGTCGACCAAGCTTTTTGAAATTTATAATCTACCACCATACAGGGATTATTTCTCCAATTAATCATCATCCAAAATAATTACATTACATCTAAATAGGCTGCTTATTATGTCTCTCACAAACTGACAAAAGAGAGTTTCCTTATTATATCGTCAAACAAAATATACCCGACGTCTTTGTGTTTGTTAAGGGAATTAACTTTTAACACTAATTTGAATTTAAATTAAACTTATTCTACTGCGGGTATTTACATATATGTAGAACGTCGAAAGAAACATAATCCGGCACGTAAACGAGGCCTAATACAAGTCCGAATCTGTCGTAGCAAGCAGGTGTCTTCTTAACAACTTATTCATTCCTCAGTGTGCGATATTAAGCACGAGGCAATGTTAGATAGTTTGAAATACGTGTCAGAGTTGGTAAAGACGAAGCCTCTCCTAGAACAATTGTAAACTTTTCATCAACCGTTGATAAGCTTTGACGACCCATCCCTTCATTTTCCATCTCGATTAATAAATTATCTTGTTTACTTCATTATTGGAAACTAATTGTCATCACCAAAGGAGAATTTTTAATTGTTCAAGAGAATCGTAAGAACAAAAATTGAATAATTTTCCTTTTACATCAAAGCTTACTTGATACGGAGGTATTTTTTCGTCGTATTGTGAACAAGACATTAGACGCAAATAAATTGTATCAAGGGTCTGCTGGCGAAAGGAGAAGGAAAACATTTGAAAGTAAAAGGGGAAATTGCAGAAAATTTTTTGCTGGCGTGATAACTTGATTTTGTTTTTAGTTCTAGTCGGATACGAAAGGGAGAGAAAAAAAGCTACGAAGCGCAATTAGATACACAGTTAATTTCAAATATTTTAAAACAAGTTTGTATGTGTGGCCGTACACTAATTCTGAATGGTAGTGTTGTCTACGTAGTACATTAGGTGATTGTCACGAATTCAATTTTTCTCCCAGTACAATTGACATCGCCAGCTTGAGCTTTTGCATTTTTAGCTTTCTGTAGTTGATAATAATTCAAGCCTCTTAATGTGGAATTTTTTTATCGCCGTATAATCTTTTTCTATGCCCGCCTTGTTATATCATTTTGCCTGGTAATATCACTCGCATCGTAAACAAAGATTTTTCGCACTCGCAGATATCATCAAGCACAAGTGGGAGATGCAAATGCACTGAACATGGCGCGATTTAGAAAGGTAGTATACAGTGCACTGTGGGTGCAGTTAGCATTAGTTTTTTGTTATGCACCAATATACACAATGACAATTGTGACCGCTCATACTAAAAATATTCATTACTCTTAGTCGTCACACGGAAAAGTAGCAGTTATTTTACTTTACTTTAACTCGACGGTAAACCCGTTTCTTTATTGCTGGAAGATTAGTGAAGTGAGACAAGCAGTGATGCAGACAATTAAAGAAGCACTTTGCTGAGTCAGGTTTTCCTCGAGTTCTTCAGACTTTTAAAGCAGAATCATTAAGTCACAATTATTTTTGGAGAGAAGTCGTCAGATAAGTTATTGGATCTAAACAAATAAGTGGCTCAATAGACTAGTTGCGCAGGCTGTTGTCGATAGTCTTTGTATCTCTGAGAACAATTTAACGACAGATTAGGTAATACTAACTATGTGTTTTCAAAAAATTTGGTTCCTTTGGGTTATAATACAAGATGTCATAATCGAAGAAAAGATATGCAAACATTTTACTTTCATGTTTTCTCCTCTTAGCAGTATGAAGGTATCAGATAAAACTTCGAAGAGCAGTTTAAGAGATGTGTTTGAGGCCGATGTTGTGTATTTCGAGAAAACTATTTCCACTCATTTTTCCTGTAATTAAAAGAAAGCGCTTGACGTTGATGTTGACACCATATTGCCAAAAGAAACAGTCCAGTTTAAGTCTAGAATTTGTTTGTTTTGTGATCAGAAAATTACCCGTAAAGCTTATGTGATGAAGTTTCTGTTACTTGTATATCTAACTGAAAGTTACGAAAATATATGAAATAAAATTGATCATCTCTGTTTGTTATGGAATTTTTTTACAGATCGATCGATGTGCTGAAGTTATATTGGCAACGGCGAAAAACAAGTTTCGTATCATTGAATAGAGGTCACTATATGTTCAGTTTGTTACTGGTGTATCTTAAGGTTGTCTCTGAGTTTTACGGATTTTATTTCCTCCATTTCCGAGTGATTAACTGCTGTCCCAAAGTCCCTCAAATGTTTTTTTTTTATTCGTTTTCAAAGCTTTATTATGAGCTCAGAATTTGCTTCCATACCATACCATCTAATTATCGGCCTAAAAACGACATGTTTATTTCACCCATTAAAGAAGTGATAAAATAGATCTTTTAAGACCTAGGAGTCTCATATCGCATTGTAAAACAAAAAATATTGCCCATGTCTTTGTGTTTGTCAAGGAAATTCCCTTTCAATGCTAATTTCAAATTAAACCGAAACGTTATCTAGTAAAATCAACAGCTGGTTGCGACAAACATCTTTTTGATTGATTAGTTTTAAAGCTACCGTCGCTGTACTGAAAAGAAAATTCCCTGTGAAAGAACTCTTTCTGAGGAAGGATTGACGCATCTCTTAGCAATTAATTAAGTCATTCGTCTAGTTTTTCTTTCAGCTAATCTTTGCATCTTTGGCCTTACATCCTCAAACTTATTCAATTCGAATTGAAGCCATAATATTGAGTGCCTTCTCGCAAGCTAAATAAAGCGGGATTGTTTGTTGCAACATGAAATAATAATTTTAAAGATGTCTTTGAATAGTTTTCTGTTATTCATATTTCATACGTGATGTACATGACAAGTTAAGCACAAAAAAAGCTTTTTTGACACGGCGAACAATTTTCTGACGTACTTCAAACGTGTAAACAATAGTGAGAAGGTTTTTATTTGAAATGTTACGTAGGAAATAGGGTTTTAGGGATCGTTCTTGTGCAATTGGCGTTAACTAAAATGAAATATTTTTCTGGATGCTCTCACAGATTAACTCATGGCAAGAATATTGTCAACTTTTGAAATATTTGATATATCCAGTTTAATGCTGGTCTGTCTTCAAGTTTTATTGATCCTATGTCTACCGACCCGAGTGATTAACTGTTCCTAACTTTCGCTTCTTTTTCCTTGAACTCGTTCCATGACGCTTTTTAGGAATTCAGAATTCACCACAATACAGGGATAATCTTTGCACTTAGTTACCGGTCCAAAAGAATGACAGTATATTTAAATATACCGTTTAAACCGCTTATGCTGTCATTCAAAAACTGACAAAAGAGAATTTCCTTATCATATCGTCAAACAGAAATATTACTGACCGATGTCTGTGTGCTTGCTAAAGGAATTAACATTAAAGGAAGAAAAATTGTAGATCGAAAATGACAAATGTAAAGTTGGAATAAAAATTGGCATCAAAGGAAAAGAAATTTTTTTTTTGGTACCCGATGGAACTCTGGGATTAAAACGATACCGAGCGCGTAGTGCCATCATGGCTGATGGTTTCTCCGCCTCCTTTATTTTCAGTTAGCGCCCATTTCTCTTATCTTGTTGACCAAAGGGATGAAGAAAGGAAATTACATCGTGGGGCGAAATAGGCAAAATAGGGAAAACAGTTTTTGTTAAAAAAATCATCATAACTTTCCTGACGAAAGTGAAAAAGCTGGTAGAGAACGAGTTTGAAAAAATCGATGGCGCACGGCATAACATCGTGTTACGGTTTTGCTTTTAATATCAGTCCGGGGACGAAAAGCGGAAAGAAAAAACCTGTCATTACAAATTGATTCAAACACTTAAAAATACGTTTACATCTGTGACCAAAATTTACATTTTAACACAGACGAAAACAATTGAAGAACTGCTATGCTCTCCTCTTTGTTGGTTGGGCTTCAACCAGAATCAGTTTCATACCTGAGGCATCCCACAGCTGCAAATTTCTGATGCATTTTAAATGATTAAACGCGAGGGAGGAAGTCTTTGTGAAAGGTTTCAGTTATCATAGTTTGGCGTGTCCTGTTTAGACGAAATATTTCTCGTTGCAAGAACAGAGGAAACGAATGCAGAATTATTCGACAACAAGTTTCACCAGAGGTGGAACAAAGACAAAAACTTTTGAAGGACTGCAATGCTCCCCCTCTTTGATAGGTGGGCTTCAATCAGCATCAGTTTTTTTCGCAGCAGTCAACATTTTCCTGGCCATCACAGCATTTCTTGGTAATTCTCTTATCCTTGTTGCCCTTCACAAGGAATCTTCCCTTCATCCGCCGTCTAAACTCTTGTATCGCTGTCTGGCAACAACTGACCTGTTGGTTGGTCTTGTTGCTCAGCCTCTCCGTGTTACTTATTGGATGTCCGTGGTTCACGAACACTGGAGCCTTTGTCATTACGCAGGAAAAGCAGCTTTCATTACTGGCGTAGTATTATGTGGAGTTTCTTTGCTGACGATGGCGGTAATAAGCGTGGACAGGCTTCTTGCCCTCATGTTGGGGCTGAAATACAAAGAGATTGTAACTTTGAAGCGCATTTATATCATTATAGCTAGCTTTTGGGTTTTATGTCTTGTCGCCTCTTTATGCATCATTTTCGATAAGCGTATAACACTTTTGAGTATCATGATATCGATACCACTTTCGCTGCTTATTTCACTCGCCTCGTACACAAAGATTTTTCGCACTCTTAGACATCATCAGGCACAAGTACAACAACAGCCGAGCCAACCAAATGCACTGAACATGGCGCGATACAGAAAAGCAGTGCACAGTGCACTGTGGGTACAGTCAGTCTTAGTTATTTGTTATACACCATACCTTATTGCGCTATTTGTAATCACTTCTAGTACAACATATTTATCAAACTCAGTCGTTGCATGGGAAATGGCAGGTGTCCTTGTTTACTTTAACTCGACGTTAAACCCGTTTCTTTACTGCTGGAAGATTAGTGAGGTGAGACGAGCAATGAAGCAGACAATCAGACAAGCACTTTGCTGTCCATGGAGTTAGACCATCCTCGAGTTATATATGATCGTATAAGTACTTTCAGTGCAAAGCTGACCGATAGATAACGCTTGTCGCTTAAATTTTTGCTCGAGGTCTGTCGATAGTATTTTTTGCTAGTTCAAAATAATGGAAACACAAACCAAAACTTTTAAAAAATATTTTCCATGCTACTAAACTTTTTTTTGAGCGCATAAATTATTAATCCAAGGAAAGATATACGTGCACAAGAGGATATATAATGTCTTACAATCTCTTGACTTAAATTATACTCTCATGAATGTTATTATAAGAAAGCGAAAGAAATAAAATTGAGTATAACAGTTTTTATTTAAGACTACGCGGGATGCGGTTTCAGAGGGTTGCTGCTCCAGTGCCGATCGATCCTTCATTAAATTAAACATTTACACGGATTGTCATGAATGTTTTGAATTAGTTAACGATATGTTTTACGATGTACAAGTTAACAAGCTTTAAATAACCTATACTGAGTTAACAATATTCTAAATTTGTTCAGTTTCTCGTGAAATAATGGCTCTACCTTCTCGAACGCACGTGTACGCTTGGTAAAATCCTACCTGACATAAAAAATTGAAACAGGGCTCTTGTTTCACCTTCTTGAAGTTCCGGTAATTCGAGTTTTTATTGAACGAATCGGTTGAAAATGTTGCACATGTGATGAAAGTTTTTGAAGAAATCTGCCGCAAAATTTTCCACTGAACAGTTCAGTCGACCAAAACGACACAGTGCAGAGGTAGGTAACGAATGATATTGTCTATTGAAGCTAAAGCTTGTTTTAAAGCTGCTAATTAAGAGACAGACCACGTGGGTTTTTCTAAGTGAGCGAGACGCTGAGCGTTTAGTTCGATTTAAAGACTGCATTTAGCGAACATCAACAGATGTTTCAAAACCGTTTTCTTCGAAAAACTGAAAAGCTAAAATGAGTCTGCAGTGAAGACCGTCAAACGAATTAATCCTTTGAAAACAATATCAAAGCATTGGATAAAACTTAAAAAGTGGTTTAAGAGTGGTCGTCTGTGAAAATCGAGCAGAGGTGTTGAAAATAAAAAAAAATTGAAATTTTTTCAAACTTTGCCAGAACATAGCTATAAATGGCCTTAGTTATGGAAAAATATAAAAAATGCCGAAAAAAAATTATGTTGGGAGAACGGTGGCATTTTGTGTTTTGGGGGTTCATAACCGTGTTTTCCCGGTGAAATAGTGCACCTAAAGATAACGGCCGAAAAAAACTTATTTCGCCAGCAATTCGGAAACAACATAACAATTCTAAAACAAGAGATATTTTTCAAAGGTTCTGAAGTATTTTTTCCAAGATTCCTTAAAAAAACAATTTTTAACGAATTTTCTAATTCGGGTGAAATTTCATCCATCAAAACATAGCTCAACTTTGGCGACTAAAATCGGCCATCGTCACATGGCTCCATAAACTGACCATGAGACAATAACCATTGTCAAGAACAAGACTTCTTCTTTTAGAAACTGCAATAAAATTTTTGGGCTATTTAAACCACTAATTTTTAGAGTGATTTATAGAAGCGTTTTGAGCTTAAGAGGCGCGTTACGTGACCAACGTCATTTGCACGTCACATTAAGAAAAACATTACCAAAACACTCGAATTCCCTCTTATATCATAAAAAACTTCGAAACAGGTCTCCTTCATATTAAATATACATACAATTTTCTCCTGAAGCCAAAAAGTCATGGCAATCTGGGCAATCTTCGATAGTCTAGTATGTGCAAATTGCTGGTTTATGTTGTTACAACGGTCATATTCGCAACTAATACCATAAGGGGACGCAAGCGGCCTTAATTGTAACTACCTTTTAGAAATGCTAGAATATTTATTTTTTTACCATCTACAAGGTAATGCAAAGGAACCGGCCGAGGAATAAAGGCACTATTGATTGCGTGTGAAACAAAAGCGTTAGCTGATGACATTTTGATATCAGGATTAATTCATTTATCTTCTCATATTTATTCACCCTCATCTGGCGTACTTTAGGTCTTGTGACATTTCTGTGACATACGCACGGATTTTGACACTCTTGCGCAGCTTGGAATGTTAGGAATGCTAGGATAATATCCAAGCATTTCTAAAAAGTACTTACAGTTGAGGCCGCTTGCGTCCCCTCATGCAACCCAACGATAACTAACACTTTTTTAACATCAGAAGGAATAGCCCGGGCTATAATTACACAAAATGTTACCTTTAGAAGTGGTTTCCATGCCAAGAGTATGCACTTTAACCCGCTCCACCGTTTTCAAAACTTATCCTTGCTACCACTTCTCGCCACTGCAGCGCGATCGATGGTATATGATTGCGTTACACACGGGAAGTCCATTAAGTGAAAATAATAAAGAAGATGACCAACGTTTTTAATAGAACAAGGTTGGTCTTTATAAAATCCTTTCGATCTAACACATGTTTATGTAAACGTGAGGTTTTCACTGTCAATTTTTTTTATAACAAAGCTACAAAGGGATAATGTCGTATCGTAGCTGTGTATGGCGCATATGCACCTATTGTACTTATTTCTCTCAAGGCAGTTGGAATAATGTTGGTGTCCCTCTATTCCAGGAGTCATTACTTTCTGAATACGAAGACTATGGTCACTTCCAGCTGGAAAGTTCCTATTTTTCTTTGCACGTACACGACTTTATCAGTTCATTGATCAGACCAACGTATGGCGCTTTTCGTGTAGCAGGAAGGGAATCAATTTCCAATTGGAAATATGTGCATATATCTTAAAGGAAAGAAATAATGAAACGAGTAAGCTTGTTCGTGGCATACAGTTGACAGAGGTGGTATGTGTCATACAAAATGGGATGACTAAGCTGGCACTCTTGAATTATCTTGTCAAGAGCTGAGGAGTATGCCATTTCTTCATCAATGGCTGGTACATCGATCTCTGCTACCGATTCCGCCTGTTTGATCTTTGCTGCTGACCTTGAAAAGTACGACTTTATCTGCTGTGGTGATAAAAACTCGCCAGCAGCAAATCGACGCTCTCCGTTTTCACTTTTAGCGCACATTGAGTATCTTTGCTTTTATCAATGAGGGTAGTTTTCTCTTCTACTATCCTGATGCTATCTTTTATCAAGGTGGCGGTCAGGATGGAATTCTGATGTATACTCACGTGACCCCCACCGGAACTGAAGTGTAGATGTTAAAGCATAAAGCTTTTGAGACTGTTGCAGAGTCATGCCTCGATCACCTTTCCGAGAAGACTTCCCATGTGGAGCCCAATCCGATGGATAGGAGCATTTTTTTTTATTGCACAACCATCTAGTCCCGAAGTCGTCGCTATGTCTGGGACAAATTGAAAGTTCTTTATGGCTTTCCTCGACTTCAAATACACCCTATGCAGAACGAAAAGAGACTGGGAGCGATCAACTTGAAAACGAGGCTAGTTGGGCCTGGTAAATAAAAATGGCCGCCTGATGTGAAGGGCGCCAGTTTTTGAAAATGCCGCAAAATTGTTGTGTTCCAAACTGTACCAAAAAGAATTACAGAACCGAAAACGGGGAGAAAATTTCTTACTTGAAGTTTCCAGACGACGTTATCGTCAAAAAACGTTGGCTCTATGCCATTCGTCGAGACGAAGGAAAAGTGTCTAGAGTCAACCAAAACACGAAGATCTGTTCTCGTCATTTTAACCCGAGGACTTGGTTAAAGCTATTGGAGGTCAGCGTGTTTATGTAAAGGCAGGGGTAATTCCATCTCGATTTTCGTGGTCCAAAGGTTCTCCGAAAAAGCGAGCACCTCCTAAATGTCGCAATCTTTCGTCTACAACAGAGTGTTCAAACGAGGAGTTGCAATCATCTCAAAGTCAAACAACTGCAGATGCAGCTGAAGCAACTTCTGAAACCTGTACTTCATCAGCAGCTTTTAGTTATCATGATGTGGAAAACAGCTTAAGTTCGTGTGAAGATCAAACAGAAGAAGTTAAAAAACTTGAAGGAATTCGAGGTTTTGAACTTGAAAATGCGAAGTTAAAGGCTGAAATAGAGGTATTAAAACGCCAGAGGAGCCTTAAAGATTCTCGCCTTTTTCAGATACGCAATTTTACTACCGACGAGGACATTGCCTTTTATACGGGATTTCCTAATTTAGCAACATTTAATGTTGTGTTTGAATTTTTAAATACTGGATCGAAAGGAGAAAACATTAGGTACTGTTCATCAAAAGAAAGAACTGTCCAAAAGGAGTTTTACGATAGTGGAAACGAGGAACCAGAGGGATGTACTAGCATAGGTAAACGAAGAAGCTTAGAACCCAGAGAGGAGTTCTTCCTTGTTCTTTGCAGACTGAGAAGGGGATTTGCAGAAAAACATCTAGCTCACTTGTTTGGTATTTCGCAGTCAACAGTAAGCAGAACATTCCTTTCTTGGATAAATTACATGTATTTAAAATTTGGTCAAGTATCTATATGGCCTAATAGGGAGGTTATAAGAGCTACAATGCCTGACAGCTTTAAAGAGAAATACTCTTGCACCTGTGTAATAATCGATTGTACAGAAATTAGATGCCAAATGCCTTCCAGCCTTCTGTTGAATTCCAAATTGTTCAGCTCCTATAAGAACAATGTAACTCTAAAAGGCTTAGTTGGAATTGCTCCCAGTGGAGCTATAACTTTTATCAGTCAGCTATATAGTGGAAGCATTTCCGATCGCGAAATTGTTGAACGAAGTGGTTTCCTGAAGTTAGAAATTTGACAATGGTGACACCGTGATGGCCGATAAAGGTTTTACAATTGAAGACCTACTCCCACTAGGTGTAACCCTAAGTATTCCCCCCTTTTTAGGGTCTAATAGCCAAATGACAGCAGAAGATGTTATCAACACTCAAGAAATTGCTTCTGTTAGAGTACACGTTGAACTGGCCATCAATAAAATCAAGAATTTTCACTCATGGGATAGTGTTGTACCCCTCAGTTTGTTTGGGGTAGTAAACCAAATGTGGAGTGTCTGTGCCTTTTTATGTAACATTCAGGACCCTCATTTCCACTTAACACTGAGTTAGGCAGAGCTCTGAGGCACACTACAGAATTTCAGTCAATTTAATAAATGTAAACCTGCTTATCCACCTCAGGTCAAATATTCTCTAAACCAACTAAAACTAAGAATATGATTCGCTTGCTTTCAGTCCCAAACACTTAAAAGATGTCAGCTTTTACATGTAGTTCTAAAGATCTTAAAATCAAAGAATAAAGAAAGCTATCTTATTATACAGACCATGTTGGTTGATACTCTGTTTTAAACATATCAAGTTAGGTATGAGACACAAAATTTCTCTGTACTCGTTCCAAGATTAGATTAGGGTAGTTAACCCTTCTAATGGTTACTGAACTCCACAGAAGCTGGTGCTATGAAACGTTCAAAATAGCTCTTCTTTAGGCCTTCATTCAATACATCCCAGAATTGAGGATCAGATGTGATCCTCTCTATACACATGCCTTTGTTAGTATAGATAACAAAGTCACACCAACTTGCTCCTGTAATACCTAGTTGACCCTGTATCTGAAAGTAGTACTGGTGCCTCGGCTTTCCATTTACATTTTCTGCATAAAAAGTTTCATCGGCACATGCTTCTAAAGGACTCACATGAAATTTAGAGTAGGGACATTTAACCTCTACCAGCCCAAAAGGCTTGCTACAGCCTCGGTCAATGACCTTGCCATCTGGTGATGCTGCTAAAAAGGGAGAGGCCATACTGACAACAAGGCCACTTTTCAACACTGAAACTGGGTTCCTTGTTGAAAACATATATTTTTCATATTCTCTTAAGGCTACAGGCTCACAGGTTTTCCCATGTGCAGCTTGTTTGGCAGTGAATGGTTTGGGATGAAGCAGATTATTTACAAGAGTGTTATGATTCCTTTGCCTTTTTACAATTGTGTGGAAATTAGATGCTGTATACCGAAATTTCCTTTCAGCCTGCCATTCCTGTGAGGCTGCTTGTTCACTTGTTTTCTTCTCTATGGTATTAAGCTTTGCCTCATCAACAATCAAATGATCCAGGAGTGCTTCCTGGTTGCTGCTTAAATCATCTGGCTTTTCATACTGCTCAGATTGTTACAAAGGGAATGGAGGATATACGGAAATAGCATTTTGTTCATCATTACAGTCCACTCTAGGCACTGAGTCAATATTACAGAAAACTTGAAAATTAGACTCTGTGAACTGTAACTGGTAACTTGCATATGAGCCACTTGGACATTTTCCAAATTTTGTTTCCTGTAAGTTGGTACCACCAGTAGACATAATTTGAGACAAGGCAAACTTAGGGTTGATCTCTTGAAGCTTGTTTTTTAACAAAGCTTCATCAGATGCTTGTGTACCCAAATTTTTCCTAGCTTCATAGAACAAGCACCTTACTCCACTATCAGGGTTATACTCTGTGTCTATATTAGACTTTTTTACCTCAAGTTCCATGACAGGTTGGGGCTTGATTTTATCTCCTCTTACAGGCCAGTGCCATAGTTGTAAACTTGAAGTGCATGCCTTAGCTTGTGTCATATCAGATTCATTTTCCAAGTCCTTAATATCTTGACAACAATACAAGCTGAACTTACAGAGTTTCATCATAACAGCAAGCACATGATTGCAAAAACCAACAGATCCTGCTACACATGTACACGAAGCATATTTAACAACTCCACTCACTAAACAAAGTGCAACTTGTAATTTGTGAGGTGGCTCATTTTTTTAAAGCTATGGTAACACAAGCATTTGAAATAGAAATATTGGTCATCACTTGCGCAAGTTAAGTCTTTCAGGTATTCATCATCAAGAAATGTTTTTGCCTTTTTCATGCTTGTTGGAACAGCATGGTTCTGTTTATTTCTGTCAAAGTTTTTTCCAGATTTAGAAATATGTAAATCCATCTCTGCCCTTGTGAATAATGGCATTCGTTGCAAACTTGTAGACCATCCGGCTGATGGAAATTTAACAGTACTTTCCTCAGGCATCGCATCACTTTGAGCGAGTTGTTCTTGTCTCGCCTTTCGACGCGTGTATATCAGATTTTTATCGGGATCCACAACATCTTTATCACGACCAGACGCAACATATTCAAGAACTCTTCAAAATGAAAAGTAGAAAAACTATTAATCATTACATTTTTGAAACGTTTCATGGAGAAAAATAACTCCTAAATCTTTTGATCTCCATTTACAATATCAAACTCTCTTTTAATTCTAAAAAGTATCACGAACGACTAACAAATACTGTACTTACCTTTTCGACAATTGTGCCTTTGTTTTTAACCCCTTTGCTGGATCGCCACGACATTTTAACCAAAAGCGAAGTTCATCTGTTTTAAGAATAGTCGGATTTCTTCCCTGAAGCGATGCTCCGGGGATATCTTCCTCCGTAAGACTCTGAGAAAGACGGCTACTTACAGAGCCATGAGCGGCCATATTTCTAACACGAGTAAACAAGGCCCAACTAGCCTCGTTTTCAACTTGATCGCTCCCAGTCTCTTTTCGTTCTGCATAGGGTGAATACTTTCGGAATTCTACGATTGGCGTCGGTGAGGTTCCGAAATGTCAGGTATTTTCAGATATCAGAACGAACTACGTGTATGTCGGAAATAAATGTGTCTGATCCTCATCGAAAACTAAGCTTTATTTTGGGGCAGGTGAGTACCTTAGAAGCTCAAAACGCCGATTTATAACCTCGGGATGTGTTTAAGTCAAATGGCCATTCAGCTCCAGGTTAGCGATCATCTTTTACGTATAGGTCCATGAGAGGCAGAAAGAAGGGCAGATGTCATGGAACAGGGCAATGGATGAAGTTACTGTGGAAAGGCTGATCCAGAAATACAAAGATAATGGGGAACTGGACCGTGATGATCCAGCACTGTCAATGTTAAAAGCTTGGCCAGCATCTAGAAAGTACAAAAGTAACCCTGATAAACTTCCAGGCCTTGAACAAGTGGTATGTTAGTTCTATGTGAAATAGCTGTCTTACATATTATTTCCTAAACGGATTTGTTGAATGGAGCTTGTATCGTATATTCAGGAATGTATCCTTGCTCTTTACCAAGAATCTAATCCTTACAGCTCCCTAAAGGAAGTATTTAAGTTTGGGAGAATTTTGTCTGGCCTTTGGTCATGCATAAATGGCTGCTTGTAAGGGTAAATGTAAGCAGTGCAGTAAAAATCAAGAGATCATACAGTTTTTAATCACTATTATTATTATTATTGTTATTATTATTATTGTAACCATGACATTCTTTTAAGAGAAATACAACCATTCAAGGCAAATAAAAACATGGAAGAGTAAAAGATTCCTGAAGTAACAGCAAAATTAAGAGTGTCAGAGAACTGATTTAATAATATTATACATAGTAATCTGTTAGGTTGTTATTGTTGTTGTTGTCTTTGAGGCTTTGAACACAAATGATGTTTAGTCTTTTTGTACACCTTTGCAAGCTGTATGCCTAAAATCCCTGTTAAAATTTAACATCCAATAGGGTTCTGCAATTATTGTCAAAACATAGCAAACTACACATTTTGAATAAATGACCTAATTTTGTTGTAAAAATATAGTAACTTTCTTTATCGAGTCGAATGAAGCACTTGGCATTTTCTCTTTACAGATAAATCGTTATTTGGAGATTCTTCTAGATATTGAAATGAACTTAGACAACCAATATGAGAAGTTCAGAGACAAAGAAGACAAAATCAAGAGAACATTAATGCATTATGCGGCAGAACTTGGTTTTTTAGATGTAGCAAAAACACTTGTAAAAAAAGGGTCCTTTGCTCCTTGGTCTGAGGACAGCAGAACGGGTAGAACCTGAGAAAATCAGACGTTTGTTACCAGCTGAGTTGGCATTAGTGGCAGACAATGATGAGATGGCTGCTTACTTGATCAGAATGATGTGGCATGAAAGGTAGAGTGACATCGGTTGGAAAAAAAGGGTTAGTCTAGATGTGTTGCTACTGTCACCCTGGATGGAATGCTTCATTCCATCATGGGATGTCTTCCTTTCTCCCTTTAGTCATGTGTCTTGCTTGAGAATACAGCACCTTGATCTCCCTAGGAATTGCATCTGGACCTCTCAACCTGAGCTCAAAAATTGATAATAACCATCAAGTCAGCAGTGTGGAGGGGAGAGGGGTAATAAAACAATCAGAATATAAATTCTTAAAATAATCTATTAATTAGTTTCACATAAATTTTATTATTTAATTTTATCCCAATTCTCTTTAGTGTGCAAAGGTTATTTTCTTGGAAACCTGATGATATGAGAAAACCTCAGCCATCTTTCTTCAATTTACATTCCATTATTGAGAATCCCAAAATGAAGGTAAGGAGATACTTATAAAGACAACTAGTGCATTGATCAATTCAAAGCCACAAAGTGACTGGCATTTGATTCAAAGGCCTTCCCAGAGGTGGAGAATTTCAAGTTTGCATGGGTGGGGTGGGGTGGGGAATTTGATCCGAGTTGATCTGTGCATAACAGATTACTTGAAGGGTTAATCCTTTAGCCCCAATAGTGACCAGCATCTAATTTCTCCTAACAATATAACTGCCTGATCAAATGTACAGGTAATGAGAATGAATGCTATGATCACCGATGATGAAATGTCTTGATGTTTGAACAAATTCTCTCAATCAGTAAAATAAGAAACATATGGAGAAACAGTGACGGGAATATGCATGTTGATATTGGGGCTTAAAGGGTTAAGAAGATGTGTGCTGAATTGAAGTGCATTCATTATTATCTCCATGACCTTGAAGCTACTATCTTGATGTCCTTACGCACAGAACATAGAGAATCAATAGAACCTTCTCGTCTGGTTCATATTGATACAAAAGATGATTGTTTTTCATCGCATTTTCAGAAAACAGTAGTGGCTTTATTGGACCAAATGGTGATTCCCCATTGGCCTTATCTACCACAACGCAAAGACACCTATGACACTGATGAAGAGGAACAAGGAATTGAAGAAGCCTGGAGTACAATTACTGATGATCCCTTGAGCTATCATTTTTATTATCACATTTTGGATGGTGATGAAGGAGGAAGACCTCCAAAGATTATAGAGTCAGTGGAAGATAAACAGATCAATAACATTATTATTTATTAATTAATTAATTAATTAATATTAATATTATCAATAACTTTAGCCTCAGGGACAAATCATGCTTACACCTGATTGCAAAGACCAAAAATATGGTAGGGTAACAAACTGATGACAAAGGTATTAATCATATTTTCTATATTCTTGGATTTATTATAAAAGGGGGGCTGTCGCAGTCTGTTTCAAACTGCTTGTCAGACTCTAACAGTTCAATACTTAAAATAGCTAAGAAAATTAGACAACTTGTACCAGCTTGCACTGTAACAAATTTTTATTAAAAATCTTTCTTACTCTCAATTTCAGGAGGCTTTGAAGCATCCTGTGGTCAGGATGTTGATTAAAACAAAATGGAACAGTTATGGATTTGTATTTCTCTGGTAAATTTGTTTGATGATTTTATGAGGCTAAAGTAATATAACTTACAGGTAAAGGCAGACCAGAGAGTGTTCTTAAGGGGGAAAAGCTGGTATCCCATTGCAAACTATCTGAGTTGTTGATTACTTTCTCTCAGAGAGATTAAGAGCTGGGGTCAATTAGCTTCTATAAAAAAATAATTTATGAATAAATTACTTGTTTAAATTTATGAGGTTTAATTTTTAGAACAAAAACATCAAGAGGCAATTTTTATCTTGAGGAGTAGTAAATATAAAAGAGAATTGCAAAGGCTTCACCACTTGAAACTTTCATCAGGATGATACAGTCAACATAATTATGTACGAATTTAACCTTTCTTGCTTTCCACAGCCTTCAAGCGGCATTCTATGTCATCTTCTTGCTCTTCTTGTCGTATTCTCTAATACATGGCTCGACAAGAACGGATCCAACTCAGTACAAGGGTATGACGGATTTCTTGCGTGGATTTTGTGAGGTTGTCACTCTTGCTATGGCTGTCTTTTATATCTGTGAGGAATTCAATCAGATGAGAGTGTAAGTGACACTTGCTCTTAATCAGACGAGCGCCTCACAAGTGAAAGCTCAATTTACATTGGGAATCAGTACCCCTTGGTGAAAACGGAATTTAAATCTTGTTTAAATACGTCCTGTTTTTGCAAAGTGGTTCATTTTGGCTTCAAACAGATTTAAGATGATAAAACCATGCAATTGTAGATCAGTTTCTATGCCACATTTTAGCATTTCTAAGCGTTCAAACCATACTCACAGTGACAAGATAGAATTTCCCTCTTTGTGTCTTTGTGTTTGTGTATGATTCTTGTTCTCCGTATACGTTTTGTAAAATATATTGTTATGCCATGTGACCAGGCTAGCCACATGATGCAGTTCGGCCATGGTTCTCATGTACATTTGTCAACTGTTTTCCATGTTGGAAATCCAATGATACTTATGAATTTAACTCTGAAGGACAAGAAAACTAGTCAACATAAATTCCTCTACTGCTCGACTCTCCGTTTACGGCAGTAATATTTTAAGAGTCCAGAAAGTCTGATGATAGGATAAACGCAATAGGGAACGGCCTGGGATGAGGAAGGGAAGGGAGCGCAAGTTGAGGACAGAGCCTAGCCGCCCTGATTGATCACACCTGAAAAAAAAAAAAGGCCACTGAATTAATCGCGTTATTATTAAGAGAGTCACATATATGAATACACAAGAACAAACTTTATTTTGTCTGATTTTTATCAGAGATGGGAGCACCTACTTCACAGCTTGGATGACCCTGTTTGACTGGTTAGGCCTGCTGCTGATCCTGTGTATAATACCTCTACAGTACACTCACAGCAAGTTACAGTGGAGGGTGGCTTCCTTAGCCTTCCTTTTCAACTTCTTGAGGATATTTAAGTTTTCCTGCGTGACAAGGTAACCTTCGCACCCGTTGTAACCGTCGTAAAAGTAAAGACTACGGAGATAACACTTTGGAATAAGTTTCTTACATTGGTAATGAGTCAATTTATAAATCTAACACAGATTTCAGACTTAAAGCCTAGGCGTCGGTTTTGCCGATTTTAGATTCTCATAGTGAAAACTGAGAAAATTTTAATCCAGTTTTGAGAGCTTTTTTTTAAAGTCAAATAGTTCGCGCTGCACTTTGATGAAATATCTTGCCACTTTGTTAGTCAATAATGTTATTTATATACTAAATGAATACGAGAGTAATCCCAATAGTGAACTCTACTTAAGCAATAATGGAAATTAGCAGTAGTGCTTTTTACCGGTGAAGATTACTTTCGTTTTCATTTATTAATTCGTAGGTCACTTATGCGATTTTCATATCTTCGCAGTCCTTTAACATTATTTACAGTCCAAAAGCAAATTGGAAGCAAACTCAGCGTAACTGTGACACGCGCGAAGGTCCAATGATTCGCCCACGATTGAGCATTTACAGATACTATTTGACACGTTTCTTTCAGTTTCTCAGAATTTTAAATTGCTTTTTGTTTTTTTTTTTCTCCTTTCTGTTGATTGATTTAAATTTGCGTTTTCAAAACGTCTAACCACCCTCGCATCTTTTCCAGGACTACAGGGTTATACACTAAAACCTTGGCGAAAATCATTTTACACGATGTCACCAAATCTATGACTGTTTTCGTTGTCATCTTCCTCCCCTTTCTGTGGTGCAATAGCTTTATCTCTCCGTTACTCCACTGAAAACCACCACTTTAGGTGTGTATTGATCTCTCCTTCATGAAGCTTTGTTTTATGCTGAAAAAGTTTCTAGCGGGGATTTTGCTAACTGGTTTGTTTATGGAACAATGCCAGTGTTAGTTGGCAGTTTTAAGATCAAAACTATTTGGTTTGGTTGACCGAGAAATTCTCAATATTTACATTTCAAAATTACAATGAGAATTATTTGAATCAAGGAAATTTGAGCTTCCAAAACGGCATGGTCTTCATTGAGCCCCAGTTAAGTGCTGAAAAATGTATCATTTAAATTTGCGATGATTTTTGTATTTATATTTTTCTTAGCTTGGCCTACACGTCACGAAACAATCATGTGTTCTCGTCTGCTTTCTTTAAATATATTACGCATATTATTATTTTAGGAACCTTGAAGACGTGTTTATCAGCGGATTTCGTGCATTGACCGAACAACAACCTATGGTGGTAGAAGATTACTCAGCATTCAAGTAAGTGCGACTGACAAGGAGAAATTATTTTTAGCAATTTTGGTTATCTAGATTATTTAGTGATATCTACCACTTGGACGTTGCAATTATAGGCACAAAATATACGAACACGTCTCAACAAATCAGTTTATATTATCCGTCGTAGTTTCGAAAGAGAGCGTGGCTAATGGTGCTTCTCCAACGCTAAAAGCAATGGTAAGCTTGCCCTCACTCGTTGCACTCCAGTCAAGTAACCAGCTGCAGACCTCCTTTAACGCAGGCATCTTAAGAGAGCAATATTTCTGGAGCTGGGGTTATAATCCTGAAGGAGGCTCTGTTTTGGAAAGTTTGCAATTTTTTAATCCCAGTGGTGTATCTTGCAGCTGGCTTTCAATTCTGCTGATGATGGCGTACATGGGGACAGTGACTGTGATTCTCCTCAACATTCGTATTGCACAAATGAGTACGACCTTCACTCAGGCCAAGAATGTCGCTCGTCTGGAATATGACGTGGATCGTATTTTACAGCTCACTCGCATGGAGAGATTTCCTTTTCTGGTATGAACGAATTCGTCGCTAATGAATGTGCGGCGTCTTGAGGTTGTGAATATCTGCATTCCTCGTTTTACATCTTTATTTTCTTATGCAGAACCTGCGGGCGAAATATTACAAAGAGGGAGATTGGATCAGTGAAATGAAACTCGCGCAAGGTAGGAGTGAAGTATTTTACGAGGACTGCTTCCAGCTGCATTGTTATCTACAACGCTATGAGAAAATTGTTGTTTTTTTTTATATTGTGTCTTATTTCTACCTTTCTGATGGTGAGGAGCTGAAGGATACCTACTTATTCAGCTAAAATGGGAAAATATACTTTGCTTTCTCATGCCTTAACAGGTATAACGTTCTTTGTGTTCTGAAATGTTATCTTGGTTTGTTTTTAGAACTTCTTGAATTTAGTGAAGATCGCAATTCTTGGGAGTCGGTGGAACAGACACTTATAGAGATAAGGCAGCAATAATGCCTTCATTGCCTCCCTTTTTCACTATCAGCTTCTTTATTAGCCCCATCCACTACACTGAGCGCATTTTGATCGAATTCTTTGAAGCCAAAACTGAAGTCTTGACAGTGACCAATCAGATAAAGGGTAATCATAGGGTAAGCTTACTTATCCCACCCCACTCTTCCATTTTTTTGTGCGTCAGCAGTTTTCTATATTGTGAGTTTCTCTCTCCAGGGACATTATGAGAAAAATGGTCAAACAGATGAGGCCAGGACGAGAATAAACGGATTTGTTGGTGTTCTTGGCGACTCAACGAGGGATATATTACTTCCGCTTTCTTTGGAATTTGTATTCACTTGTAGTTTGTACGCCACTAACGAGAAAAGAAAGAAGTTCAGGCCGAATTTCTTATCAGGCAACAAAGAAAGCGGTTATGATGACAAACAGTTCGAGAAAACTACTGTAAACACCACTCTGACACAGTTGTGGTGATGAAAGGAGATAAAAACTTAATGGGTATCACGTAGTGAATGGTAAATATAAACAAGATAAGCACCACCAGGCCTTTCGTCATGTTCATGTTCATTTGCCCATCTGAAAGGCGAGGTTGTTGTCAAGACATTTGACTTAGTCAGCTCATCATTGCAAATAATTCAATGGCAAAGTCCATTTGCACTTATAGGCCATTCGTGTTCTATGTCAATGAATACCTTACACCATGTAATGTTGTTACAAATGTTTTAAAGATTTCCGTGTATGTCCATATTAGTAAAATATTTCGCCATTTTTTCTTTATCAAGAAACTGTATCCACAGTGAGGTATGGGGCCGTACACAAATCTTTGTTAAATTTTTTTTCTTATTCAATCACCACTTATCCATTGCGCAGATTTTTAGATTTGAAATTGGTGTACTTTATTTGGGAAACGTTTAGGCGGAACGAATAGTGAACGAATGCCACAGCATATGATGTCATAGGTGACTTTTATTAACTCCTGTTAATGGCATGTGTGATGCTTATATCTTTTGACAAGTTAAAGTCCTATCTGTAAACAATTTCTAGTTGTGCAGTAGATTATTAGCATTTTGCAATGAATCCTTACATGCTTAGAAAAAGTAATTAGTTATCCACTGTTTAGCCATTAACATTTTTGACGCACTTCAATTTTTTTTACTATTTTTTTTATTTCATCCATTGTCTTTCATTCGGCTTGAACTGATTTCCATATCACACACCCAAGTCATTACGTATATAGTTAACTGATTGGTAGGTGAGGGCAAGGTTACATGAGTAGACAATTATTTAAGCAGTGTTTTAGTGCTAACTTTTACGTCACATATCTATTGAAGGCTGTCCTAAAGTCCGCCTTATGGAATATTCGAGCTGGTATAACATGGGACCTGCCTGGATTTTTTCGCCTTTCAGTTGAAATATTCTCTTTTCATCAAAACAATCGGGGATCCAATCACTTTCCCTCCTTTCCGTCGGGTATACGATAATCAGTTTATCCACAAGTTCTTTGTTTCCTGTGAACGCGTCGTGTATAACTTTGCCGTCAAACGTGAGGAAACCATCCTCAGTTTCTTGCTTCTTGTCTTTGATAAGGGAAGAAGCCTGGCTTGTTGCAAACAGTACGACGCAGTCACTGCTGCGAAGTGCCCAGGAGAGTTTCTGTTTCTCTGCTAAAACTCCGGTGATACTCCTTATGTCCGCTATATTTCTTAATCTGCCCTCGAAATAATCTTCGAGTCTTTCAGCCAATTCACAGTCGTATCCAGTGTAAAGGAGCATAACGTACTTCATTTTCGTTTGCAGTTTGTGCACGACGGTAAAAATGACTTGATAGCAGTTGTGCGAAGTTTGTTAGCACTCGAGAGTTTAAATCCTAGCGACACGATCGAAGGAAGCTGAATATTTCATGTAATAGATGGGCGTTTCTTACACCGAGAACAATGGGTGCCGAAAAGACACATTTACATAACATCAAGGTGTAGCCAATGTATACGTAACATTGATGAACGAGGAATGTACTCAAAAGGTTTAATGAAGTATGTGAGTTGCCATTTATTTTGATCCTGCTGGGTTTTCAAACTCATAAAAACTGATAAGCACGTAAACTCCTGCACTAATAGTGTTCTTATTATTCCATGGTGTTTAAAATTTCCCAAAACAAAAAGCAGGCACTTTCTGTAGCTGTAAACTTTCCTATGAATAATGCTATTTTCCGTCTAATTAGCACCTTGTGTCGTAACGTACCCAACTTAGAGTTTTAGGGTTGTTTTCCTTGTGGTAATAGGTAGGAGTCATAAAAGGTGTTTGATGCCAGATTGCCTGGCGATCGAGGAACTACGAAACTGTTTCACTCTTTTTCGTTTACCGCAAACTTTCATATAAGGAGCAGATTAGTGCAGATTTTTTATTTCCCTTATTACTGTGAAACCGTTTGGTTCCTAAAGTGAAACATCCGTTTGGTTAGGGAAAATTTATGCTCTGTTATCATAATATTGAGAAAAAAAATCGAAAGAAAGGAAAGAAAGAAACGAAGAAGGAAAGAATGAATCTTCCCTGAAACAGCTGCGGGAACCGGGTCCAGGCCCCTTCGTGGGCCTGTTGGAGTTTGAGGAGCGGTTACTTACACAATGCTTTCTCGTACTCTATGACACTTACAGATTGGGTTAAGCTAGCTGTGACTTAATATGAAAATTGCTAGAAAAGTCGAGGAAGATTTCATTGTTAAAGACAACAATAACAAAGATGATGCTCAGCCTAAAGTTAACCGTCATCTCGAAGATTTCTTGTTTAATCAACATGACGGAGAGTTCTGGATCAAGGTAATTTTTTAGGTGAATAAGAGGATGATCACATATCGATACCAACATTTCAAAAAATAAAAAAAAATAACCTTAACCTTACAGATGGCCATCCGGATATAATTATCGTTCACTTCAATTATCCTTTTCATCCTCCCTTCGGATGAAAAACTATTGCGGAAATGTTTTCTCAGCTGTAGAGCGACAGTTTTTAATCCTAGTGACAAACTTTGAATGAATGTACGGTTACTTTACAATGTCATGAAGGAAAGAACTAGCAATGTATTACTTTTCATAGTGAACATGTCGGTGGATCAGAGAACTGAGCCTTATAACCAATTAATTCTATCAACTCCGATTGGTAGGTTAGTCAGAAGCAGTGTAAAGGACTGTTGTGGAACAGAGCTATGGACGAAGTCCAAGTTGAACAACTGATTCAGAATTACAAGGTTAACGGAGAAATTTTTGGTGAGGACCCAGCCCTGGTGATGTTGAAAATTTGGCCAACATCCAAACAGTACAAAGATAATCCCGATAAACTACCAAGCCTTGAAAAACTGGTATGTTAATTTATTGTAATGATTAAAACGACTTGCGTTGTTTGTTTCACTATTACAGTGTGCTAGAGAAATGCTTGAGAAATGTATTGCGAGGTTCACCAGTTGGTATATCCAGAGTCGTAAATTTAGGATCGATACTTTGTGATGCTATAAGAAATTCGTTAAATAGGACTGTTTTACAGTAAATTTTACACGTGCATATTTATGGTCATTTATGTCCGTGGTGTCTCAGCTTGAGGTAGAAATACCTATTTATCAACTCCATGGGAGGGAAAGTGGACTTCTGCTCTCAGATTACCAAGGAAATCATTGTTATTCATAAATAAAGATAGTACCGATTGAACTTGTTATTGTTTTATTAATTTTTATGTTTAGTAATACTTTTTTGTAAGTACAACACATTGATGAACTATTCAATGGATCCTTACTAATTTGAAACCAAGATCTAGAAAAATGTGCATGTCACATTGCAGATAAACAGGTTCCTAAACATTTTGTTAGAGAGTGAACTGAACTTGGCTAATAGATATGACACATTCAGAGATGTGAACGACAAGGCGAAGAAGACTTTGCTACATTATGCTGCAGAACTTGGATTTTTACAAGTCACCAAAACACTTGTGAAGAGATGTCCATCATTGCTATCCATGAAAACAAAACGACCTAGGTCAACAAGAGCCATGTTTCCAGTTGAAATGGCTTTATTGGCTGAGAAAGATGAGGTGGCAGCATTTCTCGTTAGAATGATGTGGCATGAAAGGTATAGATAAAATGTATTACATGGATTCATCAAATGATAGAGGGCTTGATTTGAAGAATTTTTTATCAATGATACTTTTTAACTATAGTCTGATCTAAGATGTTGGCCTGTATATTTTTATAGAGGTTGTGACTCTAAATGTAATCTGAGTGAATAATTTGGTTCGAATTGTATTGATTGTGATAACAGATTTGTCTAGTAGCAACTCATGAAAGTTATATTTTTCTTTGGATTTATGTCTATAAGTAGTTAATACATCTTCAACAATTGGAGAGACTCCCTTTCTTCTCTTATTGGCCTCCAGCCAAAGTAGCTTTATAAAAAGACACTTGAAAAGGCCTGTGAAGGCAAAAAAATACCTCAAATGAGTTGATCAACTTTCATTTAACTTTATTGAGATATTCATACCAAGATGTAATTTAGATCTGCAATTTTCAGACCATTACTCATAACCTTCATAGATTCTGTTAATCTCATTTCAACAATTATTAACCATGAACATGTAGTGTGGTCTTCTTGTGATCAGATCAAAAAAATCTGCAGGAAATAATTATGTTGCATGAGAAAATCTGTTTAAACTTTAATTCCAGAGTCCAAAGTTTGTTTTCATGGAGACCAGGTGATATGACAGAACCTCAACCATCTTTCTTCAGTTTTAAGTTTATCATTGAAAATCCTAAAATGAAGGTGAGAAATTTATATTTTTTGCATTAATAGGAAACATAGGTTAGAATAATTCCCTGTTGAAAAGGTGGTGCTATATCTGTGATAGAAAAGATTTATGGTCGGTATGTTACAGGTAAACATTCAAAATCACTCATTTGTCAAATGTGTGATTTCAAAAACTTGCCTACTTGCCAACATCTGGCCATCATTTGCAGGGCTGCTAATGTAAGGAGGACTTTGTGGCAAGTTACAAAAACTTTTCCTTTAGAGACTAATGAAAATTGCTAAGGCTTTCAGCTAGATGGCTGATAAAGGAAGTGGGAGAGAGAGAGACTTATTGGAGATTTATTAGAGAAAATTCCAATAGAGAAGGGGGTGGATGTATAACAATTTTTGAATTCATTGTTCTATATACATGCAATGTTTAAATTTTAGGATTATCTTGTATTCTTTGTTTCTGTGTGGTATATATCTTCTGAGCAGAAAACGACCTTGGCTCTGCTAGATCAGATGGTGAATCCTCATTGGCCACATCTTCCAAAACGTAAGGAAAGTTACAAAAATGAACTCGAGAAAGAAGGAATTGAAGGAGCTTGGAGGACAATCACAGATGATCCTGTAGATTATCACTTTTATTATCATATCTTGGATGGTGATGAGGGAGGACGGTCCCCAAAGCTTACAACCCTTGATGGAGAAAAGCAAACAAACAACAAACATTTCAACTGGAGAGACAGGTCTTGTTTACATTTGATTGCAAAGAGCAAAAACAAGGTAAAGTTACAAACTTGCAAATCTACTCTCTTGCCTACTCTTGGTATTAGATTATGAGAAATGGTGACAGCATTGACAGCAACCATGTTAAATTTTCATTTTGATCTGTAATGTATTGGAACTATTACAAAAATATGAGCATGGCATAATCAAAAATAAAATATGAATATCAAAAATTGTCTTTTTGCTGTACTTGTATCATATTTTACATTTGTTCTTTAAAAAACACTGCCTGATTTTCATTTTTAGGAGGCCTTACAACATCCTGTGGTTAGAATGTTGGTGAAAACAAAATGGAAAAGTTATGGACACTTTTTTCTGAGGTATACTTTGTACATGTTTGTATAGAGAGATGAACACTTAGAAATTAAACTAAACAAAGGGGAAACATTGAGGGAGATGCGTCCACTGAAACAGAAAAGTTATAACAACAATGAGCCAAGTCAAATCAAATAATGGCATAATTTACTATCACCACCTTTTCCCAAATTTTTTCCACAGCCTTCAAGCAGCATTGTATGTGATCTTCTTGCTGTGTTTGTCATATTCTCTGCTGAGGGCTTCCACAGCAGTGGATCCCACTCAGTATGGGGGTGAAGCTGATTCACTGCGTGGTTTTTGTGAGATTTTCACCCTACTTATGGTGGTCTTTTACATATCTGAAGAAATTAATCAAATGAGATTGTAAGTATGCAATTCTAGTGAGTGTAAAATCAGGTTAAAACACCATTTTTTTCAAAGCTCAGGACATTTTACTATTTGCAAGTGTACAAGTAAGTTTATTTAGATCAGGGAAGACTTGGTAGTAGTTTAGAGGTGGAATTAATTAGTACACAACCAACTTTGAGCATTTGCCCTTTGTCAGATTGAGTAGAGGAATTGTTGGTGATGTGTGGTTTAAGTACAGGAAATTGATTAGAACATGGTAAGGTTAAAAACATAAGAATGAATTAATTAAATGAAAAGTGTTTTGCAAACCTTTAATCTGTCTGATTTCCCTTAGAGAGGGGAAGTCGTACTTCACAGAATGGATGACCCTGTTTGACTGGTCAGGCCTGTTGCTTATCCTGTGTATAATACCCTTACGGTACACGCAAATTAAAGCCCAGTGGCCTGTGGCATCTTTAGCTTTCTTGTTCAACTTCCTGAGGATCTTTAAGTTTTCTTGCGTGACAAGGTAAACTGCATCATAAGCTACATTTGATAGGTTTGAGAGAATGTCAGCAAATTAGAACAAGAAAATAATATCTGTGAAACTTACTCGCACAGTTGGATTAGGTTTGGATTTTGGTTAACAAGCCTAATTTATAATTAGTGCAACCCCACCATCTTGGCACCTTCATGATGGAAATTTGGAAATTTTTAAAACGTCTGAACGAAAAAAAGGTACAGAATAGAAAGATTAATAAAAAGCGTCCTAGGAGAGGAGACAGACGGGAGAAATGGAATTAAAAGAATAAAGAAGATGGGCAATTTGTTTAAAACAGCCAAATGCTTTCCATGGAGACGACGCATGGCAACGTATCCACCTCACCTGAAATTTTATTAGAAGACTGTTGAAAACTGTTATATTCTTATTTAGTATAATTCGAACATCATTATGTATCACATAACTTGTGTCCTTAATGTAATAGAACCGTGGATATTTTTTTTCAGGACAACCGGATTATACACAAAAACCTTGGCTAAGATCATTTTGCACGATGTGACAAGATCCATGGCGGTTTTTATTGTTATCTTTTTCTCCTTCTGTGGTGCTTTGTCTTTATCGCTCTGTTACTCCGATGAAAACCAACAGTTTAGGTATGTCTTAATCTTGCTTGCTTAAATGCTACTGAATAAATGTGTTGAATTATTTGGTTGGCTGATGTTTACTCTGCACTATCTGCGAATTTTAGTTGGATGAAATGTATATGATAACACCTGAAGTGATATGAAATTTCTGTTAATGTGTTGCAGATCAGTCTATGTGTTACAGTCCATGCTAAATCCTTTTTTTTTTTACATTAGTGACTTCGGAGATGTGTTATTGAGTGGCTTTCGCGCGCTCTCTGAACAAAGACCAATTGCTTACGATTATTCAAATTTCAAGTGAGTTGATTTTTCTCTAAAAGTAGGAATATGTTTTTACTCCGTTTACTTGTTCAGATCTCTTTACCTTAAGATGAGTTTATTACCACTAAGATAATAGGTGAAACTAACCACGTAAGAGCATTTGATTTATTCCTTGCAGCTGGCTCTCCATTCTGTTAATGATGGCCTACATGGGGATCGTGATAGTGATTCTACTCAACATTCTCATTGCACAAATGAGTACGACCTACACACAGGCCAAGAAAGTCGCCCGTCTGGAATATGATGTGGATCGTATTCTACAACTCACACGCATGGAGAGATTTCCTTTTCTGGTAAATGAACATTCTTCGCTAATGGAATTGTAGCATTTTATCATTAAGCGTGCACCGGTGTTCGTGATTGACGCTAAGTGGCAGCGTGCATTAGCGCCATACGTGACTGTGAGCGTGAGGAGAAGAACGTACCGTTAGGGTAGGAGGGGGCTTAGGTATAGTTGTATTCTTCTGCAATTGAGGGGTAGCCTCATAGACTTAATTACTTTTACATCTTTTCTTTATGCAGAATCTGCGCGTGAAGTATTACAAAGAGGGAGACTGGATCAGTGAAATGAAACTCGCCCAAGGTCGGCGTGAAGTATTCAACCAGGACTACTTTCACGATAATTTTTATGCGTAGCAATCGGGAAAAACAGTTTTTTTTAGTCTTGTATCCTATTTGTACTTCTCTGAACGAAGGGAGATGAAGAAGACCTTCGGCTCAGTTGATACTCAGTTATAATAAAAAAGGAGTAATCTTTCTCATGCCTTAACAGCTGTAAGGTTCTTTATCAGTTCCTAAATGTGATCTTGGTTTGTTTGTAGATCTTCTTGAATTCAGTGAAGATCGCAGCCCTTGGGAGTCGGTGGAAGAGAAACTTAATGCGATTCGGTAACAATTAATTACTTTATCTTATTTCCTTTCTTTCCTGCTATCAGCCTTATTTTTGAACTCGTTCTCTCATTACTGGACTTTCGAAAAGATCGATTTCCTTGTACTCATCCTTCTTTGTTTCAGCAGTCATGTTTCACACCTTCTGTTTTATTTTCTTGTACAGGGATATGATGAGGAAGATGGTGAAACAGATGAGGCCTGGAATCAGATGAATGGAGCTTTGTGTGCCCTAGTCCCCTTTTTATGCGCCGATTTCTTTAGTCATTTAACTGGTAATTTTTATACAACAACGTTGACGCCATGAGATTGGTTGAAGGCTCTAAGCCTTATTTGCCTCTTTTCTTATTTGTTTTCTGTGGTATATTCGTAAGAAAACAAAAGAAAGGCTAATGAAAACAAAATGAGTGGACGTAAATGGGCCAATCAGTTCTAAAAGCCAAGTGTAGTATAACATGCGTTTAAGTAAGTCGATTGGTCGTAAATAAACGTTTAGTACACACAAAAAAGAAAACACCACTGAGCTTTCTTAAAACTGTTTGAAAAGCTTCATTTTGTATCCGACACTCTTGACAGTAAACTTGAGTGTGATTAACATTGTATGCTTACGAAAAATGAAGGTCAGCTTTGAGAGAGTTAGCTTATAGAAATTACTAGTTTTTGCTTTGTTTTATATAACCACAAGACTTCTCCCACAGAATTATTTATGAAATGTGAGGTTAATTAGGAGATATTTAGTTTATACAGAGTTCTTTTATTTATCATTTTACCACGGATACTTTTATTGAAGAGTTTAGCGTACATTGAATGAAAATAAACTAAAATCAACTATTATGGGAAAGACTTCTTTGGGTTTCATTTCGAAAAGAATATTTATCAGTAGTATTTTGCAAATTTGCTACGTCGTACTGTCAGTCCTACTGACTTCAAAAACTGAAATGAAGAGCTTCATCGTAATCTTAGTGGTGTTTATGTATGCAGTAGGAAGTCAAGTGAAAGGTCCTGAGTTGTAAAATTGGAATACGTGACTTGCACAGACACCCTCTCAATACATTACCATTAAAAAAAAGCTTCTGCTGTAATCAATGTTAAAGGTCTCGGTTCATGTTAGGACTTGTTGTGAAAAAACAAAACAAAACCAAAAAATAGACAATGAAAACAAGTTAACAAACACTACGTCGATAGTAGGTCAAGAGGTTGTCAGTCTACGGCACTAGAGAAAAATAATTGAAATCAGTCGGGGAGAATGAATCATCTGTCGCACACATGAAAGCTTGGTCCAATATACCAGAAAACTTAAAATCAGGAATGAGTGGCAAAGCCTCAGCGGGCTCTACTTTCGAATTTTGGCAAAAAAATTATATTTATCTCCCGTTCTCCCCCATCTTAATATTGCCTGGTGTTAACAAAATAGGCTACTTAATTTTTTGCAAAACTTTACCCCTGTCGAATGATCGTTTCATTTCCAATTTTACTGCGATGCGAAACGCAAAAGAATCAGCCTTGTTAGGTTTATCATTCTCTTCTGGGGCTTTAAGTAAGGCTGAGGTCCTACTATCCATCTATTTTTGTGAAATTTTGATTTTATATGGCATATTTTTACCTATATCAACATTAGCCTAATTATAGGTAGCCACCTGATTCAGACACGCATAGCTCTATTCGCTATTTAACTTCTGTATTTAACTAGAGATAATATTCAGAAAAAAGCCTATACCCGGGAAGGAGTATTTGAATTATTTTTAGCGTTTTGAAATTCCAGAGAGTTGTTTATCAAGGAGAAATACATTCCCTTCAATGGCTTCAATAAATGCAAGGCACTTTCACGGGCAAAAGATATGAAGTTTGTCATACACACTGAGATGGATCGCTCGCGCATTTTAAATAAGTATTTGGTACTGAACTAAGGCCTAACTGGAAAAAATTATCAGTGAAGTGAGTTTTAACGAGTATTGGGTTAGCAGTTACCGGGAGGAAGCCACCCTATATTGCCATATGATGACAATAACAAATCTAACAGATGAGGAAAAACAAACGGAAACATTTCAAAAAAAGAAGACATGCTCTCCTTCTTTGGCTGGAGGACTACAATAAACCAATTTATTTATCAACAGTCAACATTCTCCTTCTCATCACAGCATTTCGTGGCAATTTTCTTATCCTTGTTGCCCTTCACAGGGAATCTTCCCTTCATCCGCCGTCCAAACACTTGTATCGTTGTCTGGCAACAACTGATCTGTTGGTTGGTCTTGTTAGCCAGCCCTTCAATGCTGTTTATTGGATGCTCGTGGTTCACAAACGATACCCAAGGGACGCAGCCTACATAACAAGCTATGCATTATGTGTAGCTCTGTGATGACGATGGCGGCCATAAGCTTGGACAGACTTCTCGCCCTGTTGTTGGGGCTGAAATACAGACAAATTGTGGCTTTGAAGCCCACATATATTTAGGTTTTATCTGATGCCGCTGTTTTAAGCTTCATTTTAAATTACATTTGATATACTCACGTAACCAGGCCATCTTACTTATTGATATCAATCACTTCGTACACAAAGATTTTTGGCGCCCTTAGTCATCACATATATTGTTTGAACTACCTTTTGGATTGCAGCTGCTGTTGCTGCTCTATGTACCATTTTTGATCACCGTATAACCTTTTTTTATGGCATTCTAATTATACCATCTTATCTGGTTTTCACTAGCCTCGTACTCAAAGATCTTTCACACTCCCGGTCGTAATGACGCTTGAGTACAAAATCACGTTCAACATCAGCAAAGCCACCTAAACGCACCGAACGCAAGTACAGTTATTTTTGATTGTTTGTTCTGTGCCATATGGTGTTATGGAAATCGTTACCAGCTCTAACAAAACGTATTCATCACATGTAGCTATCTTTTGGGAAATAGCAGTTTCAATAGTTTACTTTAACTCAACGTCAAACCCGTTGAAGTAAGACAAACACTGAAGCAGATAATCAGACAAGCTCTCTGCCGTCCATGGACTTAAATCCCGTTTGAGTTTCAATGGCCGTATTGCTTTACAAAGTTACAATGAATATCATTAGATATTCGATTTAATTAGCGTGCAAACTGTTGTTGGTATGATCTATTTCCCTATGAAAGACAACAAACGATAACCTTAAACATCCCAAGCACATCATTGTTGAAGTGAAGACACTTATCTTCGATACAACAAAAGATGAATAAGAAGAAAAGCCTCTTGCACGTATGGTCTAGAAACAATTGCTTGAGTGATATCAATCCTCACCAAACGTTAACCAAGTAAAGAGGGTTTTTCTTTGCCATACTATTCAAAAATGATGATAACAGAATTGTTCAAGTGAAGGCACTTATCTTCGATACAACAAAAGATGAATAATAAGAAAAGCCTCTTGCATGCATGGTCTAGAAACAATTGCTTAAGTGATACCAATCCTCAATGAACGTTAACCGAGTAAAGAGGGTTTTCTTTATCATACTATTCAAAGATGATGGTAACGGATGTCTTCAAACTTGCCTCTCAATTCTTATTGATACCTGAGGCATATGGAAAATTCGTGGAACAAATTTACCTTTTTTGACACCCCACACGGTGTTTTTGTGTATTTCAGCTAGACAGGTGCTTTTAAGAACAAAAATCTCTCGATCATTACAATTACAAGTAACCGTAAGGGAAAACGTACATCGTTTGCAGAATGATGGCGGCAGCAAATTCAACGGGAGATGGAACGCAGATGAAAACATTTGAAGAACTTGTATGTTCCTCTTCTTCGGAGGGCGAATTGCGACAATACTCCTTGCGTCTGTCAGCAGTCATCATTTTCTTTTCCCTAACAGCATTTCTTGGGAATGCCCTGATCGTCGTTGCACTTCACAAGGTGGCTTCCCTCCACCCGCCGTCCAAACTCCTGTACCGTTGTCTGGCAACGAGTGATCTGTTGGTTGGTCTTATAGGCCAGCCTCTCACCGCTACTCTTTGGATGTCGGTTGTTTTCGAACAGTGGAGACTTTGTCGACTCGCATGGGTAGCAGCCTCCATTTCAGGGTATGGATTATCTTTTGTATCTTTGTTGACACTGGCAGCTATGAGCGTGGACAGACTTCTCGCCCTGTTGTTGGGGCTGAGATATAGACAAATTGTAACTTTGAAGCGCACATATATCATTGTCGTTGCTCTTTGGATTGTAACCGTTGTCGCTACTCTATGCGAGGCGTTAGGCTCTCATATAGCTCCCTGGTTCGGTCGAATTGTCATCCCATGTTGCCTATTAATCTCGATTGCTTCATATGCAAAGATTTTCCGCGTTCTTAGTCATCGTCAAGCTCAAGTACAACATCATGTTCAACAACAGCCGAGCCAACCAAATGCACTGAACATGGCGCGATACAAAAAGGCAGTGTACAGTGCACTGTGGGTGCAGTTAGTGTTACTTGCTTGTTATGTACCAGTGAGTTTAGTGGGAATTGTGATGGCTCATAGAAAGGGAAATTCATCGCATTTAGTGGTCGCTCTTGGAATAGCGAATACTCTGGTTTATTTTAATTCGACTTTAAATCCTTTTCTTTACTGCTGGAAGATTAGTGAAGTAAGAAGAGCAGTTAAGCAGACAATCAGACAAGCGCTTTGCTGTCCAGGGGGTTAGATCTTCCATTACACCCTTTCTTAGTTATTTCAAGCGAGTACGTAGCGTGACGATGCTATTAGATAACGCATCCCGTCGGATATGTCATTTCATCATAACCATTATAATTTCCTCAAATGTGATTGGTGCATTAACTGCTTTATTTTTTGCTAATCATTCTGTAGAGCTGTAATCGGACAGTTGGCTGTAGTCGGACACCTGTAATCGGACAGTTGAAGTAGTCAATCACACTAAGTCCATTCATCCAAATCCACCAATCACAGAATTAAAAACAATAACCATAGCGACAGCCACTTATCCTAAAAAAAATTGGGAATTTTCATAATGGATAAATTTTTTTACTTTAGACATTGTTTCTACCGAAGATATTACTCCTAAATGTATTTGTTATTTTCGGAAATTGAAACGGTTATGATTAACTGGTAACAGGACTTCTTGTCGTCCAATTCTGTCAGTAATCATATGAGCGATAAACAAATTTGTTAGTCACGCGTATGATTACAGAGCGAATTGGACTCCACTCAGTCCTATTACCATTACGAATAGGAAGAAGTAGGAAGCTTAATGTAGT